GACATTAATTTCCACTAGTCTGTAGGTACAAGCTATGATCTTCAATATTTAGGCGTCTGTTTTGTTTTGTTACCTGCCAACCTATCTTTTTTAATAAAGATCGTAGACTTGATTGCCTAACAATTAAGGATGTAAACGGCTACTCTGTTAACCGATCACGGTTAGGTGGCACTGGTGAAATGGTTAAAAAAATTACAAACCGATATTCGTTTTTATATCATATCTGACCTTCAAAACCAGGAATGCTAGTCATAACAATGTTTTCCTTTAAGGCCACATAAAAACTTCATATAGCATATGTCCTTTGTAATATATCACGGGGAAATTAACGTCCTTTAATTCAGTTTGATGTACTGACAGGGATAGAACTTTATTTGAAAACACACAAGCAAAATTTCGCTTGTTGATTTCAAATGTACAAGCAAAAATAGGATTATGAAGAAATTCAAGGGGCTGTTTTTTTCTTTAATGAAAAAACATAAAAAAAAGTTTGTGTTTATTAGGCCGTACATATTTTTATAGCTACCCTTGAAAACTCGTTTTTTTCTCATTCAAGCGTATACCTTCTTGAGGATGCATTATATAATACAAGGATAGTAAATTAAACTATAAAACATAAGTACTAAATGTCAAAAAGTGTCCATTGATTTAGCAATTTTTCGGATCACGGACAGCTATGCATGACACGTACGTCCGACGCTGAAGTGAATGATAATTAAATCAGTCTACCGGAACTCTCGGCATTATTTATATTTTTGCTTTATTAAAATTTATTTCAATCTGAAAATCAATGATTCCCTTAGAAAATCAAAGTATCGGTATAAACAATTTGTCAAGATTTATAGAAATTGAAAAGAAACGGATAATGCTAACGGGTGGAAAAGTGAGCGAGAAGTCACGTGACGTAAACAAAGCTCCTTTTATTATAGTATTTATTCATCATTAAGCAAAAAATTGTCGTAAATAACATCAAAAGGTAAACATTTTTTCAATATTTGTGTTAAATATCATCCAGAAAAATTAAAACCGCCATATATCCCCGTGGCGGTACGTGTTTAAAAAAACTGTTTGTCAATTTGTGTCCGTGAAAGCAACGTATTATCGTATATTTTTGACCGATGTCGGAGTTTGCTTGATGGAATATAACGACAATAATGAAAGGACAGACAGTCGAACACTAAAAGAGGTCATTTATGATATGTGTATTGTTTTTATTGAATGGGGTAAACTAAGTCGATAAAATATAAGATTTTTACCCCGATCACCAGATATAGACATCGCTTTATTTATAGAATTTCCGTTTTTTGTCATAATTGTCATCTTGATTTTGCGTAAAAGAAGAAATCATGTTATTCAGTAACAATAAGCGAAAAAATGTTACACGCATTTTTTTTAGTGTGACATATTTTGTGACACGCAGTCTACAAAATCAACACGCATTTTGCGTGTTTGCGTCCGTCAAATTCGATCCCTGTGTACTGATATAATATTAAAATAGACAGGATAGTAAAATTGTTTATAATCACTCAAGCACGATGCTGTGTGTCGTTAGGGTCAAAGTTGACGACGAATGGGTCACTGTCATGCCATCAGTGGCGGCGCCAGCCGTCGGTGATTGGAGGGGCAAAGCTGGGGCAAAGTCCAAGGTTAAGGGGGCAAAGTCCAAGGTTAAGGGGGCAAAGGCACAAGTTTCAACTAGGGGTAGGGGGCCTCCCCCAGAAAATTTTGAAAAACAGGTTGCCGGAAATGCAGCCTGGCAGTATTTCAGGCACTGATCGATGAGGTAAAGTGTCAAATGAACGGACTTGCGAATCACGACGAAGCCCACTCACAAGCATCAAAGTAGGGAGTCCTCCCCCAGAAAATTTTGAAAAATAGACTGCCGGAAAATGCTGTCTTACAGTATTCTGTCAGGCACCGATCGTCGAGATATATAGATCTGCCCAGATACCGTTCGTCGCCTGATCACTAGTTTATCCGACTAGAGAACAAAATGTCAAACGAACGGACTTGCGAACCTCCACGAATTCCCCTTGTGAGCGCCAAAGTAGCGAGTCCATTGGGGACCTCGCCAAGAAAATTTTGAAAAATAGACTGTCGGAAATGCTCTACAACATGCAAGTTTATGACTGAGTGGGACTGTGGGATTTATTCACCATAGAAGGTATTGATTACCGAAACGTATCACAAATCCTTTTTTTTTATTTTGTAAATTTATTGCCTCCCCCCCCCCCCTGGCGCCGCCACTGCATGCCGTTAACCTCCAGTCGTCATTAGATTAAAAACCGTAGGACTATCAATGAAATAAGGACGCTTAAAATAGGGTTGTTCACAAAACAACTTTACATGCTTCTATATTGAGTATTTTGAGAGGCTCTATAGATAAGTCACGTGGATGTAGATGGCAAAAACGCAAAATTTGGGAATGTCTGCATATTTTTATGCAACTCGAAATTGACCCACTGCGACCGGTACCATTGAGCATGGTGTGTGTAACAAACAAGTCTAGTAAATTCTTTGGAAATACCGGACATGTTAAATAATCAAAATTATTTTGTATTTGAAAATCAAATATTTATGTCAAAACTAATCTTATAAAATATTATGGAGGCTTTTTTTAAAAATCAACCTGATTTCAACTGGTGAATACGTGACTTGTCAAAGCGTGCAAGGTGGTGAAAAATGTCAAGAATGAATGAATAACAATGTCCATTCTTCTATGTTTTATACAAAAAATCTATATTTATAACTGAGTTTTCTGTGGAATTGGAGAAATAAATATGGGATGTTTTACAGTTTATTTATCTAGATTAATTCACAAACCAGTAAAAGGGCACTAGCCCAGGACTAGTACGGTTAAATAGATCACTAGCCCATAAGTTAATTTTGGTAGCCATGGGCATCGGGCTAGTGGATTTTTACAACCCTGCTCTCTATTAGTAAGTGCAGGGGGACTGCACCACACATAATTTACACAAAAGCAAATACATAATGCATCGACCAATGAAATTGCTTACTTTAGCAGGAAATGTTAATCATTGAACTCAGTCATGACATGATGCACCTAATGAACATCTACATCAAGTTAAAACATTGTACCTCGATTAAAAGCAGAGTTGTAATGTTTCAAATCTGGACCAATCAGATTGCTTATCCCAGAACAATGTCAGCTGTTTCGTAACCTGGCTGTTTCATACTTAGTTCATTCGTACCTCACATGAGCCGTTTCGTACTTCATTTTGTACCTCAAATTGATTCGTACCTTTTCCTATGTTGTTGAAATCAGTTAAAAAGAAATTGAAATAAAGGTGAAACAATTTGATTAAATCCAACGACTGCGCCAAATTTATAAAAGTGGCTGCCGAGCCATAATTAGAATATGCATGAGATTAGTTTATTTTCCTAAATGTGTTTGATAGAAATTGAAATAAAGGTGAAACATAATTAAACAATTTGATCAAATCCAACAGCGCCAAATTTATAAAAATGGTTGACGACTGAGCACTAGCTTCGATGATTTAATTACAAAACGTCAATTTTATGCATTGATAATTACATGAATATGAAAGATTTAAATCATATATCAAAGCCTGTTAAAATATTGAAAAGAACAATTTTTTGTATAAAAATGGCTGTCAAACGAGAATTAGCTACTATGATTTAATAACAGAAAGCAAATTGTATGCATTCTAATTCTCGTTCGGCAGCCATTTTTTTTTTATAAATTTAGCGTAGCCGTTGGATTTAGGAAAAGGAACTAATCAATTTGAAGTACAAATCTCGTGCACATTCTAATTCTGATTCGGCATATTCAATTTATTTCAACTGATTTCAATAACATAGGAAATGGTACGAATCAATTTGAGGTACGAAGTGAGGTACATGTACGAATGAACTAAGTACAAAACAGCCAGGTTACGAAACAGCTTGCACCTTCCCAGAAAATTCTCATCATCGAACTTAGTCAAGGTATTTATTTAATGAAACTAAACACCAAGTTTGATCACTCTCACTTAATAAGAACTAAAGTTATCATGTCCCAAAGCATCGACCTATCAAACTGCTTATCTCTGCTTACCCTAAGCAGAAAATGCTCATCTTCGAACTCCATCAAGGCATTGACCTACACCAAGTTTGAACATTCTAGCACAATTAGAAGGAGAGTTATTATTCCCATAAACTGTGACTGCTGGACAGACAATACTCATCTTCGAATTCCACCAAGTCGATGCAGTGATGAAAGGTTTTACAGGTTGATGTTTATAAAATTGAATAACCTGCTGGTGTGATAATTTGTGTTCGCTAGTTTCAAATCTCAAGGATTGCATGGAGTTTTTGAAATAGCTTTATTTAACGCCCGCTCCTACCAAGCTGTTATAGCAGACAAAGTGCCTACCTACTAGCTACAAGAACGTAACTAAAAAAAGCCGAGATATACTGATACTGATGTGCTTGTTTTTAGCTACTATTGGATGCCTTTAGTTCCAAAATTAAAAATAAGTTAATTTTATACTATTAGTACTTATTACACATACGCAGTCCAATCTACTGAAACAACATTCATTTATCAGCAAATATTGACAATAAAGTAAATCGAGCATTGTTTTTATCAATATTGATTCAGACATTCATAATTACGCTGTACTATTACTACTGCACAACTCTGATCAGATGGGTACTTTGATTGGCTATTGCACACAAGGCACCGCCTTTATGTGTTACAGACGTAAATTTAAAATGTCGGAAAAAGCAATCTACTGTCGCTTTGATTTAAAAAGAGGGGATTTGACCCGTTACAGGTAGGATTATATGCTTAATTGTAGTTGGGTGTGGCAGAAATATAAATAACAATAACCAATCGTTTTGATTAAAAATATTGTCAATTTTGTTTACAAATGCTGGGTGCGAATTGCTCCCGCATATGCTACATTGAAGGTAATAGCATCATCCCTTATCTCGAAACACGGAGGGTGGAGAGGTAAGGTTTGTTATCTACCTACCTACATCATACATGAAGCATGTTCCCTTGAATAAATACTTTTACGGAATCTGAACATTGATTGGAAGAGGATACACAAAACACCTATAAAAACAATTACCAAGTTTTGAGCAGAATTACTAAGTCTTGAGCAGAATGAGAATGCAAGGATAATTTAATAACAGGGTTGCTGTTGTTTTTTTTTTTTTTTATTGTTTTCTACTGCCTTTATACTTTATATTGTGAACTTTTATTAAAACTGCGGAGCCATGGTGGGTAAGGCGCTGGCTTGCTAGCCTGGAGGTCGGGTGTTCGATCCCTGCATTGGCCGAGAAAGTACATCCCGATTATCCGACCTGGTTCATCCTTGTCAGTGATGCAGGACGGAGGGCCTGACAAGGACAGCTGTCTAGTCCTTCGGATGAGATGAAAAACCAAGGTCCTGTGTAAACATTAGAATGCACGTAAAAAGATCCCTTAGCAGTTGGAATTCGATATAAGAGTAGGCGACAGTGCCGCTGCCTGGGCAAAATTTCCCTCATAGCACACTGTATGGCGTATGCCCGTCTTCATTAGCCCAGTATAGGAGCAGAACAGTAGGACGTTAAACCCCATTTCATTTCATTTCATTTATTAAAACTGCATGGGGCTGAATATAAATATGGTACCCAAATTCATACATCGACATATCTGTACATGTGTAAATAAACAAGACAATAATCCCGTTTATTTTATATTACAAATGTTAAACGTGCCAAGCACGGTACAGTTAAATAGGTCAAACATAAGCGTGCAGTACACTGCCAATTTGCCCGACTGAAGTGAGAACGGGACGCTAATCGCGCCAAATGCAAACGCGGCTAATGTCTGATATCATAATAGTTCAGTCTCCTCACCTTTACAATTCGTGTCTCAAGTTTACTTTCAAACTGAATTCCTCAAGTCAAATGTTGTTCTGAAGTATGTTTTCAGTGTTGTTAATTGTGGATTGTTTTGTAACATTCCTAAACCCAACCTCAAAAAATAAAAAAGGTCTGAGCGGGGTTAGAATTCAATTTCCGGTGGGCGTTATCTAAACTATGGCCTTGGATCCAACCATTCACGAACTAATCTGAATTAAACTTTCGGTATGTTTAGCAACCGTCGGACAAAGTGGATGTTTCGAAGTACATTATTCTCGAACATCAATTCAAACTTATATGACAATTTTGGTGTCAGTCATTATCACATATGTGATAGAACTGGTTCAACAGGTAACTTCCAAATATAATTTTAACACAGAGATCATTGCTATGATTGAGGCGTAATGATTTTAAAAAATGGAAGCTACGAAAGCGAAAGGAAAACACAAGTTATCCTTCTATATAACTGACTGAAGTGACGAGTGATAACAGATACACGGCCGAATTTCTGCTCACTAATAATTCCTTCGAAGACTAAAAGTTGTTATATTTGACAATTCATAAAAAATAATTGACTTCACTAGATAAGAGAAAATGAAAAAAAATAGGAAAAGTGTGTGCATTACCATGTTTTTATTAAGTCCGTCTACAGGATTTGGGTATATTTTCATTTTTCTGCAACGCTGAAAAGCAATAGGGTTCATGACCCCAAGTGTTTTCACCAAATTTGAAAACAAAAGTAAAACAGCAGTCATGCAAGATAGGCCCACATTTTGCAAGAGATGGATAAAGAACCCAGAGACAACCCATGAGGTTGGACAGGCAACCCTACTCAAAACACTTTCAGAGAGATGTACAAGGTAACTGCACCATCTCGTGCAGCCTGTTTTTACAACCGGTCCGAACCATCGGATCAGGGATGTGCAGGATCAGACGAGGGTGATGAATAACTGATGTATTGGACTGCATTGTATTTCCAAGATAAGAATTTTGTTGTTTTCCTTTCAGGAAGTTGGACAAAGGCATTGATGTTCCTGTGCAGAATCTTACTCTGCTTGCCCCTCGTGCAGTAATTGAACTAATGAACTGTGAATGTAAAACAGGCTGCACAGGACATAGTTACTTTAGTAAGGAAGTCTTAGAGAGAGAGAGTTTAATGTCCAGTCCACAAAACTAAGATACGGTTCAACGTTATTTCAATAATTCTTTCGCATGTAGTGGTCTTTAACAGTGGGAGGAAACTGGAGGCCCGGAGAAAACCCATGACGGACAGACAACACTACTCTTTGCCACCTACAACCCAGAAATCGAAACCACGCCAGTTGACTCATTGACAGACCTTATGATAAAACGCACACACGCTACCCATTCAACCATCCAACCCACCCTGATGACATATCTGTTAATTTCCTATCACATGTGTGTTTTCATGAGCATGAGAGAGGAAATGATATATACTCGGCCAAATTAAAAACTTGACACTGATGAATTTCAACAAATTTTTTTTTCTGGTAAGTCAAATAAATTTTAAAGTGTTTCTAACGATAGTAAGTAGTAAGAAGCCTTTAATTTCATAAAATTGTAAAGTCAGGTTGATCACGTGACTTTTGAGCACATAAAGATGAAAAACCTGAAAAACACGTGCAAACACAAACTCGTGAGGTCAATCGATGCAAGTTTGCTAAAACTGAACACGCACACGTAACTTAACTGGAAAAACAAATTAAAATTGTTATTTTCATCTTTGTTAGAAAATGCCGCGCCTTTCAAATGTAGAACGTCTACGTGCTATAGGTAGGCTCTATGCTGGTCAGTCTGTGGTCACTGTTGGAAGAGCCTTTAATTGTTCACGCCAGACAATAATTAATCTTAGAATGAGAGTGCTTCAAACTGGAACTATTGCCGACCGCCCAAGGGCGGGGGCGCCACGTGTGACGTCACTCCAGGAAGATCAAGCAATACGATTACGTCATCTTAGAAACAGATTTGTCACTGCAACTTCCACAAGTAGAGAGATGTTTGGTGGAAGGGTAACTGCACAAACTGTTCGAAATCGCTTGCAGGCTGCTGGTCTTCGAGCTCGGAGGCCCTATAATGGACCAATATTGACACCTCTTCATCGCCGTAACCGACTTGTGTGGGCCACAAGACACATAAGATTTACTCAAAGACAGTGGAATTCGGTTGTCTTTAGTGACGAATCTCGATTCACTTTGAGATTTGCCGATGGCAGGGCCCAAGTTTACCGCAGACGTCAGAGAAGTTGACCGATTATTATTATTCCTAATAGCATAATTCCCCTAACTATATTGCTACATGATATAGATGTAGACCCCCCACCCATTACATGTACTGTAGGTCCTTTTCAGCTTCAACTCCACTGTATTTCATGTAAAAACCTCATAGATATCTATATAACTAGTGCTGATATCAAGTAAAATTTTACACATCGATGCATCGGACGCATCAGGAATTTTTTGCCGCCATTTTGTAATAAAAAATTACAGAAATAACATTAGTATTTTTGATAGAAACATAAATTTCCCTTACATTACCATTAGGCCTATTATAGAAATGTCGATTTATTTGAATAAATTTATTTCCACAATATTCTTCTGTTATTTATTATGACATTAATATTGTCCGATTCACTTCAATTGACACTCGTTAGCCATTGTTCAAATTTGTTGTGAAGGTGTGAGGGGTGAGTGTGTGAGGTGATTACAAGAGACAGCATTTGTATTATTTATACGGATCGTATCAAAGCCTGTCTATAGGGGTTTATGAAGTACATCCTCTATTGCCTGTGACAGAAAATAAGATTGAATTGTTTTAAAACTAGCGTTAAAAACTGGGCGCGAAATATTATCCTCCTGACAGTTCGTTTGGTCATTTAAATGAACTGTCAAATTGACCTTGGGGTTAAAGAACATGAATACCGAGGGACGTAAACCAGCAAACGCAGTCTTTGTAGTCACAGGAAAATGGAGACAAACAATAAACATAACAGAAGCGTAGGGTAAACAGGTCAAGTCTAATACTTCTTGCTGGATTCATTGAATTGTTCCGTTACATATATATTGTTTTATTTTGAATTATAAAAAACATGCAGAAAAACATATTGAAAAGGCGTTTTTTATTCTAGTGGACAAACTTGTGAACTCCTCGGAGTCCTCGGACACATATAAAGCTAATTATTAGTATTTTTTGCCGATGCATCAATAATACAAAAAAGGACCGAGAATCAAATTGGCGTCAGCCGAATCGATACTTGATATCAGCACTATATATAACATACAAATAATTTCATTCTAATCCTTTATTCATCAGTGTGTGTTTCAAGATTTCTGTCTAAATCTATTTTACTAAAAAATGTGCTGCTACATACATACATGTTTTACTACAAACATCACATTTAAGAAGTGGTCTTACTCCAGAATGAACCACCCTGGGTACTTTCATTAAGTCATTTACTATAGACATCCCATTCAAATATTTACATTATTATTCTCTATTCATCAGTGTGTGTTTTAAGATGCCTGTCTAAATCTGATTTATTAAAATATGTGCTGCTACATTCACAACAATCATAAGTTTCTTCTTCATCATGAACTTTTCTGATGTGCTTCCTTAAAGCACTGGCAATAACAAATGTTTTATTACAAACATCACATTTATGAAGTGGTCTTACTCCAGAATGAACCACCATGTGTCCATCTAAAGCAGTTGTGTTATTAAATAATTTACTACAGACATCACATTCAAGTTGTTTTTCTTCAGAATGAATTCTAGTGTGTTTTACAAGCATTGGTTTGCGTGAAAATGATTCACTACAAATATCACATTTATAGGGCCTCTCTCCAGTATGGATTCTCATGTGACCCTTTAGATGACCGCTCAAAGTAAATGATTTACTACAAACCTCACACTTATATGGCCGTTCTCCAGTATGGATTCTCATGTGATCCTGAAGAGCACCACTCAAAGTAAATGATTTACTACAAACATCACATTTATAGGGCCTATCTCCAGTATGGATTCTTGAGTGATTCTTTAGATGACCACTCAAAGAAAATGATTTACTACAAACATCACATTTATAGGGCCTTTCTCCGGTATGGCTCCTCATGTGGCCCTTTAGATGACCATTCAAAGAAAATGCTTTACTACAAACATCACACTTATAGGGTTTTTCCCCTGTGTGGATTCTCATGTGAGATTGTAGGTTACTTCTGTGGGAAAATGATTTACAGCAAACATCACATTTATAGGGTCTAGCTCCAATATGGGTTTTCAAGTGACCTTGCAGATTGTTATGTGTATAAAATGATTTACTACAAACATCACATTTATAGGGCCTTTCACCCGTATGGCTCCTCATGTGATCTATTAGATCACGTTCCCAAAGAAACGATTTAATGCAAACATCACATTTAAATGGTTTATCTGCAGTATGAATCATCATGTGACTCTTTAGATGACATTTCCTACGAAAAGATTTACAACAAACATCACACTTAAATGGCCTATCGCCAGTATGAATCATCATGTGATTCTTTAGACTATTTTTCCTACAAAATGATTTACTACAAATATCACATTTATATGGTGTTTCTCCGGTATGGAGTCTTATGTGATTCTTCAGCCATTGTTTTGTAGAAAATGATTTACAACAAACATCACATTTATGTGGTGTAACTCCAGTATGTATTCTCATGTGTCGTGTTAGACAACTGCGCGTAGTAAACGATTTACTACAAAAATCACACTTATATGGTCTTTCGCCCGTGTGGGTTCTGAAGTGATCTTTTAATTTGCTTTTTTCAGTAAATGATTTACTACAAACATCACATTTATATGGCCTATCTCCAGTATGGATTTTCATGTGACCCTGTAGATGATCTTTTCTAGAAAATGATTTACTACAAACATCACATTTATATGGTCTATTTCCAGTAAGGTTTCTCATATGTCCTTGTAGATCGGTCTCAGTGGTTGTTGTTTTCTTCCTATCTGGCATGTTTCAGCTGTAAAATAAAACAAGAGATAGAAATATTTATGTTTGAGTTTTTCCATGCACATTTTAAATGATGGGTTGCCAGACAACGTAACATGTCCACAGTAGCTAAATCCTCCGAGCAGTCAACAAGAGTTGTTGCATATTTATTCTTTGGAATAATATAGATTATCTTATGACACATTTTTTGCCAACGGCACACTTTGGAACACATGAAAAAATAGCGGCACACATGGCTAAATATATATATGAAACATATTTGAATTTTGCAAAAAAATAGCATGGTAAGTCAGACAGAGACTAGTAAAACTAAATAGGGAAAAACACAGCTATGAACTTATCAGTAGACACCACTGAATACTCAGTTGGAATCTCATGATTTTTGCACATTTTCTTAGTGTGCCATTCAAAATTTCATTGCACACTTAGAAAGATCTCGCAGCACACTGGTTGAGAATCACTGGTTTAAAAGAACAGGCCCCTATTCCTTATCAACTAGATGGCTAGAGAACAAGCTATAACAAAAAAGTAATTTTTCGTACAATCAGTGGCCATAATCCAGGAAGTTATGGTCTGAAATGTGAGAATATCGAAAGGACTGAGATCTTTTGGATATGAAGATATATTTAAAGTTTCATCAAAATCAGACAAAAATTGTGACCTCTAGAGGGTCCACAACATTCTTATTACATACATGTACATTTACAAAATTTGCTTACAAGGATTGGCTATTTTCGGACAGTTTTATTTCAAATTTCCAACAATTTTAACTCAACCTTCCTTATGGCATTCTGTTGATATAATAAAAGGTTTTGAAAATCGGATAACCAGCGGTTGCCAGGAAGTCATACCAGTGTCACACCAAGGGAAATGGCGGGAAGCCCTCGCTACACACAACACGGGATATAGACATTGTTATTTTGGCCGGAAAACAAACCAGTTTGGTTCAAAAAGTTTTAAAGTGAGAATTTCAAATTTTCTAAGAAAGTCAAAACATAATTATTTCTGTCTTTTGCTCAATAGGTTATCAACTCACTATTATACGATCATGGGTATTATTTCCCACCCTTAAAAATCTATGACACAGGAAATAACAACACAATTACCTCCCCTGTTTTGCTATTGACAACATGGGGCAGCCATTTTCCAACGTTGGAATTTGAAGTTAAAAATGATATTTTTGCCACTTTCTCAGCTGGCAATAGTGAATTATAGGATTAATAGGATTATTCTTTAACAAGGTAGGACTGTTTATGGATACCATCTATTTTAAGGCTTTATTTTAATACATTTTAAAAATATAACTTGAAAATTTGAAATTTCCGCTTTAAGATCAGCGTTTGCCAGGCAAGATACTCCCACATTTTGCAAGAGATTGATCGAAAATAAGCTAAAAAAAACAAGCGATTTTTCTTACAATAATTGAGAAAGTTATGGTCTGACATTTTTAAATATCGAAACAGACTGTGATCTTTGGGATATGAAGATATATTTTAAGTTTCGTCAAAATCGGATAAAAGTTGTGAGCTCCAGAGGGTCCACAACCTTTGTATTACATACTTTTAGTTTACACAATTTGCATTTTGTCGTATAGTTTTGTTAAGATTTTTCGAAATTCAAATTCAACCTTCATCATGGTGAAATGGTGATACATGTTAATTTTTAAATGGTTTTTAAAATCTGATAAAAATTTTGACTTCTAGAGAATCCACAAGATAAAAAATATGATTTTCCATGATATGCGCGAATATCGAAAGGACCCAAGATTCAAGTTTCATTGAAATCGGATTACAAATTGTGACTTCTAGAGGTACTACAACCTTGGTAATACATACTTTTACACTATTTGTGTACAGGGAGCGGCCATTTTGTCTGGCAGATTTTGTCCAATTTTCACGAAATTCAACTCAACCTGCATTACGGTGTAATGTTTATATATTCAAATGTTTTTTTTAAACTGGATAAAAATAGTGGCCTCGAGAGGGACTACAAGTTTAAAATGTGATTATTTGTGCAATCACGGTCTATAATCTAGTAAGTTGCTCTTCGATATGCCAGGGGGTTGGATGGCTGAATGGTTAGTGTGCGTGCGCTGTATCATAAAGTCTGTCATTAGGTCGACTGGCGTGGTTTCGAATCCCCGGTTGTACGTGACAAGGAGTATGGTCGCCTGTCCAACCTCGTGGGTTTTCTCCGGGTCCTCCCACTGCTAAAGACCCCTACGCGCAAGCGAATTATGTAAATAAAATTAAACCATATGTTAGTCCCGAAATGACCTAGTTTGTTTCGAGTGGACGTTAAACCCCATTTCTCTCTCTCTCTCTTCGATATGCCAAATTATCCAGAGGAAACAAGATCTTCAGGTGATTATTTGTACAATCAGGAGCCATAATCCATTATTTTATGGTCCGATACATTAATGTGTGACAACCTGATATCTCGGAAACCACTGATTGGAAAGAGTCGAAATTTTGGCTACTCTAAGATATGATCAATGTTACCATATTCTGTAAGTTTCATGGATATTGGTTAATAATTGCGGTCTGTAGTCGTGCCACATGTAATGTGTGCTAACCTGATACCTCGGAAACCGCTAACCGAAAATAGCCGAAACTATACCTACTCTGAGATATTATTAATGTACAATTTAATTATAATCTGCTAATTTCATTGAAATCGATTGGTAATTAGGGTCTGCAGTCGTGCAACATGAAATGTGTGGTAATCTGGTGTCTCGGAAACTGATCAGAAATTTTGGCCACCAGTACTCTGAGATATTATTAATGTTATCGTCACTTATCGTGACATCGGTTAATAATTGCGGCCAGTACGCAGACTTGCCACATGTGGCAAATAGTCTCTGAATTTTCTTACCACATGTGGCAAATAGCCCCAACCATACTTTTATTTTTAAATGACTAAATCATATTAAACTATATAGCTGTTTAGATTCACTCTCCTTCTCACCTTCACCAATTCGTGTCTCCAATTTACTTTCAAACAGTATTTCTCGAACGTTATTACCAGGTGTTTTTTCAGATTCGTGAACCCAAAACAACCCAAAGCGCACAAAAACAAAGTTCTCAATGCAACGTTTAAATTTCACTTCCGGTTAGCATGTTGAGTTAGAGACTTAGCTACTTTAAACATATTATGTGTTTAGATTCAATCTCCTCCTCACCTTCACAAATTCGTGTCGCCAATTTACTTTCAAACAGTACTTCTCAAACTTAATTTTCAGAGTTGTTAATTGTGGAATGTCTTGTTAGATTCGTGGGGATTCGTGTACCTAAAACAACAAAAAGCGAAGTCCTCAATGCGGCGCTAAAATTCCACTTCCGGTTAGCGTGATATAAACAATTGCCTTGGATCCGGAGCCTTTATGTTGACTCGAGTGTAGGAGGAGACAACAATTTCAATAAATCAACTATCACAATATGTAAATTTTATTGATGGCCTAGGGGTCTAGAGTGTCACACCTCGACCTCTGGCTCGCGGTTTTGGTTTTGATCACTGGTGTGAGCGTATGTGGCTTGGAGATGTCCTTCTCAACCTCGTGGGTTTCCTCCGGATACTCTGGTTTCCTCCCACAGTAAAGACCCTTGCGCTTGCGCTAAGATAATAAAACTTGTTTGCGATATGACTTTCGGTGGAAGCATATGTTAAACACGAAGTACAACAACAATCCAATCATAACATCATGTCATTTTACGAACTGGCCCGAGTCAATGTACGTTTAGCTTTGCCGCTGTGTATCAATAGGGATTTTCGAAGTACATTAGTGTCAACAGTTTGTTAGTGGATAGTTTAAAGATTTGGTGTGGACATGGTGTGAAACAATAATAATTTCCTGCAACCGTAGTCCTGGAGTTACGGTACTCGCACTTTTCTGTAAACCGTCTGAACATAATTGAAGCTAGTTTTATAAAGATGCATAATGTAAGATTTAGATAAAGAGATGGCCATTCTTGCTATAATAATAATAGTGCCAAAATAGATTATTCAAAATTAATACACTGAACTTTCATTCTGAGCCATGTTATCACTGTTTGAAGTTTTCACATAGATTGTTTATTTTCGTAGGAACATTACTTGTTTATCAAGAGTCAGTCTTGCTTGCTTCTCCATTTTTAAATTAAATCATTAAATGGCAATCGTATTTGATAATACATGTCTCATGTGAATAAATGTCTAAATAATAATTTATAAAGCATTTGAAGCTTTAGCAGATTTAGCTCTTACAAAATGTATCTTTAAAGCATCATTAGGTAAGATAAGATAAAGAGCTGACAGTTCTCGCTACAATAGTTCACAAGCAGTTGCCTTGCAAGATACGCCCACATTTTGCAAGAGATGGACAGAAAACAAGCTAAATCTGATCTTCACGAAACTGTCATTAGATTGTAACACTGATATATTTCAACGTTTTTTAAAATTGGATAAAAACTGACCGCTAGAGGGGCCACAGGCTAAAAACTGGATTTTTTGTACAATCAGGGACATAATCCAGAAAGTAATGTTCCGATATGCATGAATATTGAAAAGAACTGAGATCTTTGGGATATAAACACATGTTTTAAGTTTCATCAAAATCGGATCAAAATTACATGACCTCTAGGTCCACAACCTTGATATTACATACTTTAACATTATTTGCGTACATAGAGTGGCCACTTTGTCTGACAGTTTCGGTCCTATTTTCACAAAATTCGAACTCAATCATCATTATAGTATAACGGTGATATATCTAAAATGCTTTTTTTAAATGGGATAAAAATTGTAACCTCTAGGGGGACCACAAGTTAAAAATGTTTTTTTTTTCAAACAATCAGGGGTCATAATCAAGGAAGTTGTGGTCCAATATGCGCAAATATCAAATTCTGGATCTTTGAGTTATAAACATACATTTCAAGTTTTATCTTAAAGGGACTGTCCCGATTTGAACAGAGTCTCAAAAATAAAGTCCGAGTACATATGAAATTAAAGTGCCAAAATATAGAGGAATTGTGTATGTACCTTGTTTCAAAATTTCAGCTCAAAATATTGAGTAATTTTGGACGTGAATGTCAAAAAATGCTTATCCGGACACGTAACCCATTTAAAATTTCGGGTCAATTCTTTCGTTGGGTGATCTGATAATCTATTTAGATGTCCATACAGTGCATGACTCACGTGCTATACTTGATAACGAAAGGTTAATTTCACCTACACCTACAACTTGGGACACCGGTCTCCATTTCCAGATGAAGACTGACGGGTGTTAGTTGTTTGAAAACACATCACAAATAATGAGTTAGTTGCTCGACCCTTAGGTAGAGGATTTTAAGGGATTTTAACACAAAATTAACCAGTTTTATTCCCCAACATATTATCGGGATTTGCCCTTTAATCAGATAAAAATTGTGACCTCTTAGGGTGTCCACAATCTTAAAACAAGATTTTTCGTACAATCAGGGGCCATAATCCACGATGTTTCGATCTGATACATGCCAATATCGAAAAGAAACAAGATCTTTTGGAGATAAACCTATATTTCAAGTTTCGTCAAAATCTGATCAGAATTGTGACCTGTAGAGTGTCCACAAACAAATTGTGGACGTACAGATGTCCGCACTACAGGGGCAACAGCAATATATGTCCACTTGAAAATAGATAATGAAAAGAGAATATTTTGAAAATTTCAGTCAAATAAAGTTCACTCTGAGCCAAGGAATCTGCGATATAATTATAGGCTAGCCTCGATTGTCATCAATACCGTTGTTACGATAATAAACCAAGTCTAAATTATGCATTTCTAGGGTAACTGAATCCACTAAATATCACAGGCATCTGATGGGGTACTATATTTCAAGCCATTAATTAAAAAATCTGACAATTTTATGTATATTCATCTTTTATTAACAAATATTTATATAACCCACATGTTTAAATGGACATAAATAAAAATAATTTCTCCCAGTGTTATATTTACATTTATACACATAAACAAAAACAATTTATTTATAAATAGAGAGAGAGAGAGAGAAATTGGGTTTAACGTCCACTCGACACAAACAAGGTCATTTCGGGACTAACATATGGTTTAATTTTATTTCAATAATTCGCTTGCGCGTAGGGGTCTTTAGCAGTGGGAGGAAACCGGAGGACCCGGAGAAAACCCACGAGGTTGGACAAGACTCCTCGTCACGTACATGCCATCCATCACAGCTAAATGTTTTGGATTTGGACTTCGGAAGCCAAAGCTATTGAATTGAAATGGGGTTTAATATGCTTTGAGGGAAATTTTGCAAGAACAGCCACACTACGTCGGACTCTTTACTTTGACTTCCAACTGTCAAGGGTTCTTTAAGTGAACACCAATGTGTACACAGGACCTCAGTTTTTTGTTCCATCTGAATGACTGTTACTCAATTACATTTCAACCAGGTATTAATCAATAAAAGAAACAGGGCCTATATTGAAGATACAATATGTAAGATTTAGATAAAGAGCTGGCCATTCTTACAAAAATAGTTCTAAAATAGACAATGCAAAATGAATTTATTGAAAATTTCATTCAAATTGCTCCATTGCGAGCGAAGATAGTAGCTTTTGAAGTTTAACAAGATGTGTGCATTAATTGCAACCACCACACTGGTTGTTCGAAACTTAGACTTGCTTCAGCATTTTTAGATTAAATCAAAATATGGCTAAACTGTTCCAATCTATTTAATATCAGAAATATCCGATGACATCGAGAGTTGATTATGGTCTGGATAAGTTAATTAATGTCTTTAATAATTTAGATAACATTTCAGGCCAAAAGAAAGACCTGCAATAGGCAGATTTAGCTCTTGTATAATGAATGTTTAATATATTCCATTCTTGAATCATGAAAAACTGAGGATGAGTTTGATAATTATCTCTGATATGAAGTCAATAACTATTTTATAGTTTTAAACGTTTGATGTCTTCACTTCTAAAATCAACCCTGAAAATAGATTGTAATTTTATATTCATAAAAATTGATTGTAAAAAATTCTATATTTATAAAAACCAATTTGTAAAATCCAAAATTAAAGGGGGTTTGACAGTGTAACTTTAAACTGAACCGTTTCTATGTCTGAAATTAAACCTTTGGCTTATACTTTCCCTGAAATTTACTTTGTTTCCTAGTTATAAGAAAATCAAATGATTGTACTTTGTATAAATACATAAAAGAGAGAGAAATGGGGTTTAATGTAAAATCAACACAAACTAGGCCATTTCGGGACTAACATATGGTAGCTTATTTCAATAGTTAGCTTGCGTATGGGGGTCTATTTGTGGAAGAAAATTGGAGGACCCAGAGAAAATTCAAGGTTGGACAGGCAACAGTCTCATACATACTTGTGAACGAATAAAACTTGAGTCAATGATAGAGATTATGATCTAAATTGCATGCGTTCCACCACTTGACTATCCAAACCCCACAATCCATAAAATACAACATAGTAAAAAGGAAATGAATATCATTTAAAAACCTGTATAAAAAAATTCCTTTTTCTATGTATGTCACAAATACTGTATATATACCTTAAAGACAGAATCTGTCTCACTTCAGTCGGAGTCAATCGCCAAGTTAAAGGTCCCGAATTTTGGCCCCAATAATCTAATATTTCAGACACCTGTAACATGAATCATCTACCATTAAAAACAAAACTTTTATGGAATAAATAATAAAAACATAACTGCCATTTTGACTGATCAAATTGAACAACATGATGGTTGTTTTATTGTGTATCACTGTAACCCAGGTATCATTTAATCTTGTGTATTTAACATTAATTTCTTTAACATTGAAAAATTACTAAAAATCAGTTAAAACCACCAAAAATCATCTAATTTGTAATTGTGTCCAGTTTAAAACTGATCATTCAGTTTTGATAAGGAGTGTCAGTTTACAAGCATTTACTTTCTCAATCACTGTTAAACCCACACAATTGGTCATTGATGTATAATGATTAATTTTTGAACATTCGCCAGAAAATTAAATCGCTAATATTTCAAATCAGTTATGCTTGGCGAAATACGCCAGAAGTCTCAATCGAATGTCAATCTCTAGCGTCTGGTTATTCCAGTCTACACCAATCATATTTATTGTGCATGCTCTCCAGAAAAGAATATGGCATCACCGTTTGACATGACTTCGGAATATGTATATGTCTTGCCTTGTTACAAATGGCACTGAAATGCATTATGGTACAAGATTTGTGTACCAATGGAAAAATGTTTATTTTGTCTTAAATATTGGATAAAAGGGCTGATTTTCTCCAGGTAAGATCACAACATCAATGTTGATTTAAATTAACAAATAATTCATGTTTTCAATGTCGAAGACTTTGGATGATGTTGAGTTAGAGACTTAGCTACTATAAATTTGACACTTATGATCAAAACTGAATGGTCAGCTTTAAACTGGAAACAAGTTCAAATTAGATGATTTTTTGTGATTTGGGTGATTCTGCAGCCGAGTGAATCAAAAAGCAGAAGTGGGAACTAGAGACCTAAGACTCAAAAACCGGACTTTGAAATATTCATCGCAACTTGAGACACAACTGTCATGACAACTCATGGCTTGAAAGAGGTAAGTTTTCAAGTTAGTGTAATTCTTTCATTTTACCTTTTCTAGATTAAGTATAGTAGCCATCTGTGTCAGTCGAGCGAATTTATCTCTGATCGTCCAGGTAGTCACGGATGTCAAGTAACCAACCAATGACCGTAATTCTTTGTCAAACTGTAATCCTCCTAACTGGAAAAAATACAATGAATACTTCTAACTGTGTGTTAAACATCTGGGATGGGGAAATCAATTTACAGTCCAATGTAGATATAACACAGCAATTTAAAGATACATTAAGGGAGATAAGATAAAGAGATGGCAGTTCTCGCTATAATAGTTAATATCTAGATAGTGTAAAGGTAATTTGCTGAAAATTTCAGTCAAATTGATCCACTATGAGCCGAGAACGAAGCGTGTGAAATTTTCACATAGTCTCGGCCATCATTACTAAAATCATTAATATAAACAGCATAGACTCGATTATCCACTGTTGTGATTTAATTATCAATGGCCATTAAGCGGCATATAGGAATCTAATCCAGCCAACATCGAAGGCTAGCCTTGACATCGTGAGTTTATTATGGTCTGGATAAGTTAATTAATGTCTAATTGATAATTTAGATAACATTTCAGGCCTAAAGAAAGACTTGTAATAAGCAGATCTTGCTCTTGCATAATGCATGTTTAAAGTAACAATCCACAATTTAATATAATGCAACAATATACAGTAACAATCCAATGTGGATATACTGCAGCAATTTATAGAAACAATTCACAGTTAATATACTGCAGCAATTTACAGTAACAATCCACAATTTGTATACTGCAGCAATATACAGTAACAATCCAATACCGATTTTACACAGCAATTTACAGTTACAATCCACAGTTGATATACTGCAGCAACTTACAGTAACAACCCATTTAGATTTTACACAGCAATTTTACAGAACGACATACTCCATAGTTTTATAACTTTAAGCTCAATCAAACTGTATCGAGGAAGTTTGAAAACTTCTTTATTAAATTTTGAATATAAGTTAACAATTACTCACTCTATTGAAGGCCGTTTTAACAACAGCTTTCTCTAACTGTACAGATATTTCTCCTGTTATCAGATTCACAAATCTTTCATTGTTACCATTGGTAAAAGATTCCTTAAAAAATACATATTTAAATTTAACGGATATCAGATTCACAAATCTTTTATTGTTACCATTGGTTAATGATTCCTTAATAAAATACATATTCAAATTTAATAGTTAATACCTTCACTATTAAAGATGCATTATGTGAAATGAAATGAAATGGAGTTTAACGTCCTACTGTTCTGCTCCTAACCTGGGCTAATGAAGACGGGCATACGCCATACAGTGTGCTATGAGGGAAATTTTGCCCGGACAGCGGCACTACGGCCTACTCTTATATCGAATTCCAACTGCCAAGGGATCTTTTACGTGCACGCCAATGTGTACACGGGACCTCAGTTTTTCGTCCCATCCGAACGACTAGACAGCTTTCCTTGTCAGCCCCTCCGTCCTGCATCACTGACAAGGGAGAACCACGCCGGAAAATCTGGATGAACTTTCTCGGCCAATGCAGGGATCGAACACCCGACCTCCAGGCTAGCGAGCTAGCGTCTTACCCACTTAGCCACGTGATCCCCTAGATGCATTATGTAAAAGCTGAGAGGTCTTGCTATAAAAGTTCAAAACTAGATAATGAAAGGGAATGAGAGGTCTTGCTATAATAGTTCAAAACTAGATAATGAAAGGGAATGAGAGGTCTTGCTATAATAGTTCAAAACTAGATAATGAAAGGGAATGAGAGGTCTTGCAATAATAGTTCAAAACTAGATAATGAAAGGGAATGAGAGGTCTTGCTATAATAGTTCAAAACTAGATAATGAAAGGGAATATCTTGAAAATCTTAGTCAAATTACTACATTCTGAGGGATGTTGGGGCTGTTTGGAGAATAGCGGTGTCTTGATTGTTTTTGTTACCATAGTTATGATAGTAAACAAAGTCTGGATTATCCATTTTTAAATTAAATCATTAACCGACAATCTTGTTTGAATCTGTTGGAAATCTAGATGGCCACGCAGGTTGAGTATGGTCTTGGCAAGTTAATAAATGTCTAATTAATAATTTATATAAGATTTAAGGTCTAAAGAAAGATCTGCAATAGGCAGATTTAGCTCTTACATAATGCATCTTTAAATAATTACAAAATGATATGGGTTTTTTAACGTAAAGTGCTAATGTGGTATGAGGAATATTTTGCACAAACAGTAGAATTTTAACCTTCACTTCACTGAATTCCAGTTGTCAAGATATGCACATCTTGACCTTGGTCTTTATTGTCTCATCCTAACAACTAGACACTTTCTTGCCAGCTCCACTATCCTTCACCACGGAGGCTGAGAAGGGGAAGCCAGACTGGAAATTTCACAAGCAATCCTGTTTTAGAACATCCCCCCCCACACACACACAGGCCAAAGGCTACGAGAGAGAGAGAGAGAGAGAGAGAGAGAGAGAGAGAGAGAGAGAGATTAACGTCCAGTCCAGTCCACAAAATCCAGGACTAGGTCATTTTGGGAGTAACACATGGTTCAATTTTTTATTTCAATAATTCGCTTGTGAGTAGGGGTCTTTAGCAGTGGAAGGAAACCGGAGAAAACCCACGAGGTTGGATAGGAGACCCTACTCCTTGTCACATACAACCGGGTAATCGAAACCCCCACATGCTACAAGGATTCAGCACTATAATACTGAAGTCTCTCAGGAAAAATATTTTAATCCAGATTATTTTACCTTAAAAGTTTTCAGCATATTATCAAGATTAGCAATGAAATTCTGTAACCAAGGATCATTTGCTTCAAAGTTTGAAAATTCTTCCTGTAGATCAAAAAAAAATATGAATGAATAAATTGTATTAATTTTGTCATTACCATAAATATTAATAAACATTTACAATTTCCCCAATATAAATCAGAATACAGTGTGTAATATGAATCTTTGATTGTAAAAGACAAAACATGAGTTCATTCTCCCAGGTGCACTTCCTGTCCAGCCTCAAGTGTCACGTATATATATATATATATATATATATATATCATCCACTCAGACATCCAGATTACACAGACACTTCAGCCACTTGATGATCTGCGACCTGATTCATCTGAAAACTATATTAAGTTATAGACAGACAAGCGTATTTTTTCACCTGATCGCTGTGATTGAAATTCGCCAGTGATTTTTACTGCTGATCATGAACGGGCACACATAGCGATCGTCTCGAGAGTGATCGCCACTCTGCAAGTAAATTTCACGTGACTTGTACAAAATGGCGAATCGTTGAAAACGTAAGATTGCTGTGGTAGCTGCTATTTATTTGATTCTAAAACTCTGGAATCATGACAACAAGGCCTTTCTGCCTAAAGAATCACCAATTCTTTTTCTTTCGTTAGACTCCATGCCTTGGCAGTGGAGGCAGCGATTTTGACATCATGTGATTGGCTTATGAAAATGGTGCACTCGCCAATATATGCAGGACACAGGCAGACGAGTAGATATGCTGGCAAATTGATGGCTTGCGTAAAATATGCGGCCGAAAATATCTAACATGTCAGATATGAGCAATCGGTTGGGTGAATGGCTCGCAGAGCAGAATCGTTGTCACATTAAATGGGCACACAGGCGATCTTTTCGAGCGATTTTAAAAATCCGAGAGATCGTCCCCCCATGTTATAAACAATTATACGGCAACTCACCTCTGTAAGATTATGTCCTGTAGCAAGAAACGTATCAACTAGTGGTTTGATTCGTGGTTTAACAGCGCTACTCGTTAACTGTGAAAAACCAAAATCAACCACATCTTTAAATCTAGCTGGAACACTTCCGAGATCATTTAAACAAGTCTGCAAATATGAAATAAAAACTTTTTGATTAAAAACATTTTCAGATTCATAATATAGCATTCAGTTAATTCCTCCTTCACATGTAATGTTAATAATCCTTTAAAGCCATTTAGTAAGTGGATAAAGCATACTTATGGAAATAAAATGAACTTGTGTGTAACATCCTACTGTTCTGCTCTGACTGGGCTAATAGGACGGGCATATGCCATAGAGTGTGCTATGAGGGAAATTTTGCCTGGAAAGTGGCGCTATGGCCTCTCATAGCAATTTTTGTCCCATCCAAATGACTATACTTTGTACCTTGCCAAGCCCTCCATCCTGCACCACTGACAAAGGGGATCGACACTGGAAAATCCTAATGAACTTTCTCGACCAATGCAGGGATCGAATATGGGACCTCACTGTGCCACCGAGGCTCCCCCAATACGTATGAAAGAACAATTACTAATTCATGTAGGCACCATTTGGAAAACTTTGAGAGAATAACTTCCCAATGGTTTTCCCAGCTTCTGATAATAAATTATATCATAGTGTAGAATATTTAAAAGATTTTAAAAACATATAATTTGTAGAATAGAACTATTTTGAGGAGATATGAAAAGATTTAAATTATATTAGGACTTACTTCTAGCTTAGCTTTAGAATGTTCATTACAATATGAATATAGTTTATTCACTTCTTCCTGTTAAAATATAAAAAAAAATTGATTTAATATCCAATTTCATCCAGTGTTTTTCTGGTAAGATTGGGTGTCTGTATTTTCAATATTTTTCAAATATGCAATACTTTTATTGGAAATATCTATCCTAAAATATACTTCGTGGGGATGCATTTTTAAGTCTAATGTTATCTCAATCTGATTAAAACACAGATCTATATTTCTTTCGTTTATTTTATATTTTCGATGGACTACACTAAATGAAGATCTGACTGGTTGCAGTGGAAGGATGCACCAGGGGCCATACGAGCCGCTTTTGAACCTATGATGTCAGACATTGATTAATCTGCAATCAGCGTTGACATTTCTAGTGGTGTACCCACAGTTCCATGCACCACAAGCCAAAAACTCGCCATAACAGATCATTTCATTGGCTAAACCCTCAGATCAACTAGAACGCAGGTTATATAACAACTCTTCCAGATCCTAGTTTTGTGAAGACAAGTATAACGAAATTCTGAACTATAATAAACGAAAAGATATAGGATCTGCGTTTTAATCAGGTTGATGTTATCTTAAAATTATTTCTGTGAATGACGGCGGAATTGGAAAGACAAATATTGTAAACCTCTCGCCAACATCATTTATATATTTGTCAACTACAATAGTTTTATATACAAACTTTTTCAAAACCTAAACCACTGGAACAGTCAGTATCATATCAAATGAAATGAAATGAAATGGGGTTTAACGTCCTACTGTTCTGCTCCTAAACTGGCTAATGAAGACAGGCATACGTCATACAGTGTGCTATGAAGGAAATTTTGCCCGGACAGCGGCACTACGGCCTACTCTTATATCAAGGAATCTTTTACGTGCACGCCAATGTGTTTACGGGACCTTGGTTTTTCGTCTCATCCGAATGACTAGACAGCTGTCCTTGTCAGGCCCTCCATCCTGCATCACTGACAAGGGGAAACCACCCTTGAAAATCGGGATGATTTTTCTCGGCCAATGCAGGGATCGAACACCCGACCTCCAGGCTAGCGAGTATCATATCAAGTCTGTGTATAAACAGAGATCAAATGAAATGAAATGGGGTTCAACGTCCTACTTTTCTGTATCAACGGGGCTAAAGAAGCGAACAGGTTTATTTATCAAATACAGTAGAACTTGCTCGGGCGTGCACTCCTAATCAGCGAACACTTGCTTCAACCAGCACCAAAAAACACCCCCCCCCCCCCCGGAGCGATTTTTAAGTAATTTAACCCCTACTAAACACGCACCTGTTCAACACGTGCAACGGGCATCACGATTAATTCCCCCCCGTAAAAATTCTACTGTTTCAACGGTCACTCCTCTAACGCAGCTAGCGATCACAGAAACTATAGACTTGGCAAAAATTTAAATTTGACTTACATCTAGGCTGGTCTTTAAAGCTTTACAATAATCACAACTAACTTCAGAATTATTTAACGCAGTCTGAAAAAAATAACATAACAATGACAAATTGTAATTTTAATTGAGCGATGAAGCAATGACTATTCTTGTACGCTTAAGTAGTACAGATTTTATTCAAAATCTGTGTCACTATGGGGGTACTCGATTGATCATTCTGGAATTGAATTCACTCAATCCCAAAAAGTCACAATCGAGTTAAAAAAAGGTATTTTGGGCTACAACGCATGCGTCCACTGAATAAGAATATATCTCAACCAACCATGCAGCCGAAAAATCTTTGTTGTGTTAAATTATGCCACAATTCTATTCACACCACCTCCATTGTTGTGACTGACAGAATTGTGACAGGACTAAAATCTGAGTCACTCGATTGCAATTCTGTCAATTGATAAAATGTAAACTTCCAGTAAAACCATAGGGAGCACAATATCCTCAATTCCAGAGAAAGATGAGTTTAATGTCCATTTTACTAGGTAATATTGGGACTTGAAATGAAATGAAACGGGGGTTTAACGTCCTACTGTTCTGCTCGGACAGGGCTAATGAAGACGGGCATACGCCATACAGTGGATCTGGCACTATGGCCTACACTTATATCGAATTCTAACTGCCAAGGGATCTTTTATGTGTGCATGCCAATGTATACACGGGACCTCAGTTTTTCGACCCATGCAAATGACTAGACAGATCCTCCTTGTCGGGCCCTACATCCTGCACCACTGACAAGGGGAAACCACGCTGGAAAATCCTGATGAACTTTCTCGGCCAATGCAGGGATACAACACTCGGCCATCCAAACCCCCTGGCTTCATATAAAGAAAATGTATGTATATGAGTTTACCAAAAATAATGTTCTGGCTTTTTCTTTCTCCTGATCTGAACTTGTTAACTTCCCTTGCTGGAAACTAGATTGCATAATATTATAGGCTTGTTGTAGATCAAAACCAGACGGATAGCCACCACGTAACCGTGTATATAAAACTTCTCGGAAGTCTTGTTCTAGTGTCGAACCAGCATGATTTAACATCGCACAAACACCATCAACACTCGAACTAGATATTGTACGTCTAAAACATAAAAAATAATTAAATTCATCAAAAATGGAAATTTTCTATACTCTTTTAAAAATATAAAAAAAATCAAAATTTTCTTAATTTTTTATAATGGAGGTCGAGCCTTTGCTGTATCTACACTGAAATTTTGGAATGTGTTACCAGAAATAAGTAGATAAAAAACAGTTTAAATACTCATCTGTAGAAGCAAGCTTATCAGCAATAACTCGAAATATTATGATTTCACATGCCTGGCAATGTGATATGATGATTGTAAATGCCTTAAGTGGTGGACTCGTCCGATTGATATTGATGATTGTAAATGCTTTAAGCGGTGGACACACTAGATGAATGATTCGACCGAATCAATCGGCGTTGAAATTCGCCTAGTATGTCCACTGTCATTCAGCCGAACGATTCGCTCGAATCAAACATGTTAGATATATTCGTCTAGTGTGTTCGCTTGGCCGAAGCATTCGCCCGATTGTAGAATTCATTAGCCAATCACCACTCATCATCCACTCATATCGAGAAGTCACATGATTGTTTGAAGACATAGTCGCCGCCATGTTTAATCATGTGATGTGAAAGGTGATGCAATCGACTGGTGAATCGGACGAAGGATTCGTCTAGTGTGTCCACCCATTCGGCTGAATAAAATTCGGCGTCTATTGATTTGGCCAAATGATTCAGCTAATTTGTCCACGCTTTATATAAATGTATTATTATTATTATTATAATCACTGATCATCCCAATTTTAATTGTATTTTTATACTATGAAATAAATCTAGAATGGTATATAGGGTATATTGTACCTGACTGATTTTTTAACAATAAAAAAAGCATCGTCCACCATACTGGATGTTTTAGCACCTTCGTCTGTAACATCCATATTAACAGCCTGTAAACATAAAAAAAGACAAAAATTTAGAAACATCATAATTTTCTTGTGACAATATGAACATAAATTTAATATTAACGCAAGTAAAGTGTGCCCCCCCCACCCCCATACACACACACTTCTTCTGCTAACAGTTAAGGGTTGTGTTGGCACAATCCTATATATCCATACCAATCTGTAGTGAAAGCATAGATCTGTAATTAAGTTCCATAGGTTAATTGTTGCAATAATATACAAAGTCTTGATAATCTATTTTTAAATTAAATTATTAAACTGCGATTAGGTTTCAATCCGTTCAAAATCACAACCATTTGATGTTCTAGAGAGTTGATTGTAGGCTTGTCATGTAAATATGTATAATTAGGCCAAAATAAAGACCTGCAATAGGTAGATTTAGCTCTTATATAATTCATCTTTAAACATACATTATTCAAGAGCTAAATCTACCTATTGCAGGTCTTTCTTTAGGCCTGGAATGTTATCTAAATTATTAATTAGACATTAATTAACTTATCCAGGCCATAATCAACTCTCGATGGCATCGGATTTCTCCAATATTAAATAGATTAGAACAGTTCTTCCATATTTTGATTTAAGCTCAAAATGGACTTAGCTTCGAACAACCAGTACGGTGGTTGAAATTATTGCACACATCTTGTCAAACCTTCAAAGGCTAATATCTTCGCTCGCAATGGAACAATTTGAATGCAATTTTCAAATTATTCATTTTACGTTATCTTTTTTGGAACTAGTATAGCAAGAATGGCTAGCGTTTTATCTAAATCTTACATAATGTATCTTTAACAGCAGGGCAACTCACCTTGACAACCATTTCTTTCATAAAATATTCTTCCATCATAATATAATTACCAATTAATTCCTGCATTAAACGACTTAAATCACTCTCATTAATTAACTTTTCTACTTCAACTTTACCCTCTACAAGAAAAAAAATAAACACATTTAAAATATATATTTCAGCTTTACTCTACAATAAGATACCTACTTATGGGTACCCCAAACAACCACCCTTATCAGTGAGCAGGTGAGACCGTTAATTTGTTGCAATAAGGCATTGCTATTTTTGACATTGGATACTATTTTTGTTGCCCTGGTAAACTGGACCTTTATGTCATCGCCAATTTGACCAAGCCCAAGGGAGGGGACTCGATATATCTGTGTACATACCTTCCATTAATTTGCTTTCTTGCTCACTTGTTTCTAAATCACCCTGTAATAAAAATATAGTTTCAGAGATTGCTGATATGTTACAAAGACGTATAAGTGTACTATATGAATCAGAAACTGAGCATGATGTCATCACAGCCATCTTGGAATTATGACATTTCAAAAATCGAAGTATGTCAATTGGTTGTCCAATAAACACGCAAGGCAAGTTTTTTTTTTTCTTTTAAGTAGAGATGAAAAAAACATCCATATCTTTGTATTTTTCACGAGAAGTTGGTGACCGAAAACCTATTCATTATATTTGTGTGGCCTTATAAATGTTTTTATTTATTGCATACTTCATTGCGAAAAATGTCGACTTACCATGGCTTTTCGTTTCATAAACCGGAGATATAATTCTGATCGATTGTTGATTAAAACAATTTCTGATAACAACAGATCTACTTCCATTGGATCTAAACGACTAAAAATGACACAATTAACTAAACATACATTATGCAAGAGCTAAATCTGTCTATTGCAGGTCTTTCTTTAGGCCTGAAATGTTATCTAAATTATCAATTAGACATTAATTAACCTATCCAGACCATAATCAACTCCAGATGGCATCGCTAGTCTGCGATCTTTAGTGGATTGTGAGCTAATTTACTGCATAACTTTCCTTCACGATTTAACGATTAAATGGATAATCAAGACGCTGTTTATCACACTGACTTTAGTAATGATGATAGCGGCTAGTCGAAAATTTCAATCCCTTAGTTCTCGGTTCATAGTGGTTCAATTTGAATGAAATTTTCAGCAAATCGCCTTTACATTATCTAGTTTTTATTTATTATAATGAGAACTGCCAACTCGTTATCGAATCTCCCATAATGTATCTTTAAAGCTGCATTATGTAAGATTTAGATAAAGAGCTGACAGTTCTTGTTATAATAGTTAAAAAATAGATAATGAAAAAGGAAAATGTTGAAATTTCTGTCAAATTACTTTATTCTGAGCGAAATTATGGCTGTTGAAGAATAGTGCAAACTAGTCTCAATTTTCATTGCTACCATATTATTTACTTGCAATCATATTTAAATCTGTTGAAAATCAAAACCATCCTATGGTCTAGAGAGCTGATTATGGGCCTGACATGTAAATATTATTATTATTATTATTATTACAGCGTATTTATAGCGCGCCCTTTCAAATAACATGTTCAGGGGCACTTTACAAAGTGACAATATAATCATAAATAAACAACAAGATTATGGACATGTTAACGATTGTATACAGAGTCAGTAGAAAGCCAGATTAAATAAATGTGTTTTATATGTCTAATCAATAATTTATACAACATTTTAAAATGGCAACTCACATAATTTACACTAGCTGTGTTACCAGAGTTGCATATAGTTTAATTAATTTTTAATAACGAAATAATCATTAATTGACAATACCATCAGTCATCAATGTATTAAATACAAACAAAATGGCACGATTAACTAAATGCAACATAATTAACACCATCAAAAACATGTTATTATGAAGTCTGACTTACTTTTCCAGTGAATTTTGTTTCTGTGAGATTAAACTGGTCTGTACTAGCCTCACCTAAATATATGGAAAATATTTTAGGAATGCATATATATAGGACACTGTATTAACAAAATTTTTATATTTTTATTCAAAAACCTGATGAATCAGTGTTGTCTTGACTATGAGGGGAGAGAGAGAGAAATGGTGTTAAACGTCCACTCGACACAAAGTCATTTCGGGACTAACGTATGGTTTAATTTTATTTCAATAATTCACTTGAGCGTAGGGGTCTTTAGCAGTGGGAGTAAACCGGAGGACCCTGAGAAAACTCACAAGGTTGGACAGGCCAGCTGACTCAATGACAGGCCTTACGATACAGCGCACATGTGCTAACCATTCGGCCATCCAACCCCCCCTATGATGGGAGAGGGGTTGCACATATCATCAGCCTTATTAACAATCATAAATATTTATTTTGTTTGTTTTATCAAATTCAAATAGTGTCTCACCTTTTTATCGTATTCCCTGGATTGTTTAAATTTTTCTATAACTTTTCTAACTTGTCTATCACATTCTTTTTGTAAAATTTTTAATAATACAATTAATTTTCCTGGTCCTGTAATTCAAAAAAGAAAATACATTTATATAAAAAAAAAACATTCAATTTTTGGAATATTTAAAGTACATGACAATTGCCATAAAAACAAAGTTGTGAATAAAATGAAGATGTATTTAATTTTTTTATACATATACTATTTTGAGAGTAACAAGGTTCCATTCCAGAGCTTTCACTTCAACATTTTGTCACTCAGTCAATTTTTCATGTATTTTGTTTACCTCAGATTAGCATAATATTTTTTCCAGAGACTATGATTAGCTATTAATAATCACAAGTTAAGTCATTTATAGCTAACCACATATCAAGTTATGTATGTTCTGAGTAAAGCCTCCATCTTGTAATTATTTAAATAGAGATAGAGAGAGAGAGAGAGAGATTAACCACACAAACTAGGTCATTCCGGGACTCACATATGGTTCAATTTTGGTTCAATAATTTGCTTGTGCGTAGGGGTCTTTAGCAGTGGGAGTAAACCGGGGGACCTGGAGAAAACCCACGAGGTTGGATAGGCGACCCAACTCCTTGACTCAATGACAGACCTTATAATGCAATGCGCATGAGCTAACCATTCATGTATCCACCTCACACTGCCAGTCAATGAAGACTGAGCCCTAGAGTCTTGTTCCACTTACCGTAATAAGTTTCTACCAATGGTTGATGTACTTCTACTGTTCGTGCTATACCCTCTAACAACATAATAATAGTATCAGCATACAGCACACTTGAGCGTTTTACATCCCCACTTGAATCAAGAGCTATTTTCAGATTTCTATCTGCAGTTTCAGATAACTGGAGAAAAAAATAAAAATTCTTGAATTATAATTACACGTTATAATCAACAAGTAATAATTAACCTTTTTTTTATCTTTCAGGAATATCCGAGAAATTAGAAAGCAAAATTTTAATAGGAGTTCTTAAAGAACAAAATGTCTTATTTTGGCTGGTAGGAATATTTCAATTAGCTCTATATAATTAAAGTTTATGCGGAAGTAAGCTTGCTCACTAATTTTAGTTTAAATCAGTTACATGTATATCTTCAACCTGACTTCATCTATATAATTAAAATCAAAGCTGTCTGTGAGTGTGTTCACACATCATGCTTAATCGCTGTGGGATTTACCCCCACATGTCGTATTATATTAACAAGCATGACCCTGTGAATGTTTTAGGCCATCGAATTTGAACCCAGAGGGAAATTTGGGCCCCAGACGAAGCCAGGTATCCTGCTACTTTTCAATCAAGACAAATTGTCAACCCATAAAACAAATCAACAGATAAAAATACAATGTAATCAACATTTTTATGATTGATCCAAATCGAAACGTCTAACCATTTTTAATGTGAATTGGAAAAAAAAGCGAAAGTAGGGAACCACTGGCTACATATCAAAATGTAATCAAAAATTTTATGATTGATCTAAATCAAAAAGCCGTTTTAACACTAATGCCAAAAAAAAAAGCGAAAGTAGGGAACCACTGGCTATAGTGTATCCATATATTAGGTACAAAAAATAAACTGACCTGAGATGAAAGATATTTTCCAAATTTAGTTAGTCCTTCATCATGCATTCCTAATAATGGAAATATCTTGAAGAATCGTTCAACGGAAGCCACATCACCAGAATGAACAGCAGCTGAGAATTTACTGTTGACGATGGTTTTTAGCTTCTCTTCTGATTCATATAACATCCTGAATGATGTTTCTAATGTTCCACCTAGAAATCCAATAAACTATGTGTGCAGAAAATTTATAGAAAGAGAGAGAGAGAGAAAGAGAGAAATGGGGTTTAACGTCCACTCGACACAAACTAGGTAATTTCTGGTCTAACATATGGTTCACTTTTATTTCATTAATTCGCTTGTGCGTAGGGGTATTTAGCAGTGGGAGGAAACCGGAGGACCCAGAGAAAACCCATGAGGTTGGACAGACGACCCTACTCCTTGTTACGTACAACCGAGAAATCAAAACCACACCAGCTGACTCAATGACAGACTTTATGATACAGCGCGCACTTGCTAACCATTCAGCCATCGAACCCCCAGAAAATTTACAGAGTTTTTATTACGATGCATGTTTGTCTATCTGGTCAATCTGTGTACTAATGCCTAGGTCCCACTTGGCATATTTTGCCCAAGGGATGTACTACTGATGGAAATTGATGAGCCTCGGGAGGCATCCGGAATAGGTTCCCCAGTGTCCCAGGGAAGTTTCGGGGGCGTTGCAAGCCATGTCGAACCATCAGGAGACCTCACGAGAACTGCGAAAAATTTCAAAGCTTGCATTGTCAGGAAAACAGGCTAATCAAATTCCATCGGTAGTACATCGCCGAGGAAAAAAAAATGCTTAGTGGGACCTAGGCATCAGATTGGTCTGTTTTCAAAACAAAAAGGTTAGTGGGTCTAACTCAACTATTCAGTACCACATTAACAATAATATTCTATCATCTATTTATTCACAGAATTATCTTTGTTTTGAAATACATTTTTTAGATCATGCAACACGAATAAATTCTAACCATCTTTAAATCTTTAATGTTATGTATTCAACAGATAGGTTTTTTTTTGTTCAATCACGAAAATCAAACACAAATTCCATCCATTTTTTTCTTTCAAGTGGAACTTGACAAAAGGACCTTGGTTATGAGTCTATAGTATTAACAACATGTTGACTATGTCCCGTTTTTTTTAATGAAAATATCATAGTTAACAATTTACCTTCAGAAGAGTCTGCACTCATTCGAATGACTGATTCATCCAAATTACGGAATCTGTGAACATGACCAGCCGCCTATTTAGAATATACAAAATGTTTTAATATATTACGTAAACAAAAGTCATAAGGCAAATTAATTCAACTTGATGATAACATCGTAGAGATAATTACATGGTTCAATTTATCAATGGAAAGAATAAATTTATGGACATATTTATATGGAATACACTGGACCTCACCAGACATAATTCTATGAAATAAAAATGCCCCAATTCTATGGAATAAAAAGGCCCCAATTCTATGGAATACAAATGCCCCAATTCTATGGAATACAAATGACATAATTCTATGGAATACAAATGTTCCAGTTCTATGGAATACAAATTCCCCAGTTCTATGGAATACAAATGCTCCAATTCTATGGAATACAAATGCCCTAGTTCTACAGAATACAAATGACCCAATTCTATGGAATACAAATGACCCAATTCTGTTGAATACACAGGAAACATCTGTCGAATACAAATGACACATTTCTATGGGATACAGTTATTGTTACTGCGATTTTTCAACCAGGATTCTTTAATCTTTATCAAGAGAATTGTGTTCTGTCTGTTTGCAGTTGAATAAAGGCCAGTACCCAGTAAACAATTTATTATATTCCTTATTGCTTTCAGAAGTTTACATAACATACCACAATACATTGGTGGACATTTGTTCCCCAAGGATTAACACCTTAAAAGAAGCTTTGACTTCATAACTCCAAGCTCGAATTACGGCTAGGATTGATCCTTTTTGATTTACGGCTAGGATTGATCCTTTTTGATTTCTTACTTGTACAAGACTCTCAATCAATTTACATTAAGACTAAATGATATGTATATTTTCAAAAAAAGAACTAAAAACACTATTATTCAATGAAGCTTTCCCTTACCAGCACTGAAACTTTTTGCAAAAGTGCAATAGAAACTTTCACAGAATGTTTTTTGCGCTATATAAATTCAGTGTTTATTATATTTATATACATCTTTTTCTCTACCTTTTCATAATCTTCATTCTGTAAAGCTGTCTGAACTCCATCTGTACAGAATTTTAAATCTAGAATATCTTCTACTCTTGTTATACACTGAGATACTTGACTCTACAAAATAAAATAAATATATATACTTATAGTAGATCTCTTTTTTCTGTTGGGGTCACGGTGGCTAAGTGAGTAAGATGCTGGTTTGCGAGTCTGGAGGTCGGGTGTTCGATCCCTGCATTGGCCGAGAAAGTTCATCCAGATTTTCCGGCGTGGTTCCCCTTGTCAGTGATGCAGGACAGAGGGCCTGACATGGGCAGCTGTCTATTCGTTCGGATGAGACAAAAAAAACAAGGTCCTGTGTACACATTGGCGTGCCCGTAAAAGATCCCTTGAAAGTTGGTATAAGAGTAGGCCGTAGTGCTGCTGTCTGGGCAAAATTTACCTCATAGCACACTGTATGACGTATGCCCGTCTTCATAAGCATAGTTCGGAGCAGAACAGTAGTAAAATTAGGAATTTCAAAGAGTAAACTGTAAAACATAATTCAATGATTCACTCAGCACAGGGGTCTTGAGCAGTGAGAGGAAATCCAAACCCCAAGAGATTAGGCAGACAGTAGACGGCTCTACTCCTTGTCACAGAGACTCAGGATTGAAAGCACAACACTACATGTAACAGACCTATTGTCTGCATCCTTTTGGTCAGAACAATAAAAGCTAGATGATTATAATTCAATTACTCTACCTTTGCTAGATCAAGTTTTCTAACTTTACTACTGACGTTCTCAGCTAATGTAGATGTGAAAGATATCATGCTACTCAGCTGTTTAGAATCATTCTGTAAAATCTGGAGATTCGGTCTGAGGAAAAAAAGCAACAATAATTCATTACTATTTATAAAATCAATTTAAAAAAAAACAACCTGTAAAGCCAAGAATTGCACAAAATTTTGATCAAAATTCTTTAAAAATACCAACACACTTTGAAGTCTATTTTTAACTTTAAATGTAGGTAAAGGTCTTTACATAAACTTACAGTACCACACAGTGTAGGATGAATGCACATCTTAATGCACATCTTATAGTGTCTTAAAGATCAGAGGGAGGGGGTGTGTGGATGGCCTGTCATTGAGTCAACTGGCGTGGTTTCGAATCCCCGGTTGTACGTGACAGGAGTAGGGTCGCCTGTCCAACCTTGTGGGTTTTCTCCGGGTCCTCCGGTTTTCTCCCACTGCTAAAGACCCCTAAGTGCAAGTGAATTATTGAAACAAAATTAAACCATATGTTGGTCCCGAAATGACCTAGTTTGTGATGAGTGGATGTTAAACCCCATTTTTCTCTCTCTCTCTTAAAGATCATAATAGATCTCTGAATATGTAAATCATAGCACAATCACTCAGTTTGTGAAATATGATCTGATGAGTCTACATTAACTTTAAGCAGCTGAAAATCATTCCTCAACTACGGAAAAAAACCCAATCAGATGTCAAGTGAAAATGCTCAACATAGCATCGTATACCTACAATGTTTTATGAAGTCCAACCATTTTATTTTCTAACATGGCTTGATGTTCAAAAACACTACTCAGTTCTTCTGCTATGACATTCTGAAACATTAAAAATAATGTGCTCAAAAATATTTCCAAAACAAATTATAAACAGCAAACATTCAAATGTCACAAGATTTTCAGCTGAAACAAAATTTTTGGTTACCAAGGCAGGACATTACATTATTTTAGTAGTTGGTAATTGTGGCAAAGCTAATTTCATACAGAGATATGATTCGGAACAGGTGGGGATTACCTAACTTCCCAGCGCTATGACCTGTCAAAAAATGCTATGACTATCACTATATGTGACAATCCGTTGCGGCCCACACATTTCTGACTTGATGAACCTGTGTCAGAGATCGTCTGGTGGCATTGATATTGGCATTGATGTCGGACAGAGGCAATGAAACACCAATGTCAAATGGACACGACATGCCTCTCTTAGATCGGTTTGTGTTGGGCCTGGTGGCCCGGTGGTGGTGGTGGTGGTGGTGGGGGGGGTGATGAAAAGTCAATATCTTTGCAAATGCTAATAAGTGGTCAAAGTTTTCTGTATGAAACGAACTAACTACCTCTTGCCTACATAATTCATCGTATGCCTTTTGAATTTCATCAATGTCAGTTAGATTTTCAACATTTTTATCTCCAGGGGACGTGGCATCAACTCTGATCGTCGCCATTGCTGTTTATACATTTCAAAACGGATCAGATGTGGAATTCAATCACACTTTACGTTTAATAAGTAATAATATTAGAAAGCTAATATTATTCTCCAATTGCTCTAAACACCGAAAGGATTCTATATCATACAAAATGCTAATGAATTGATACAAAATATCGTACATAGTCAAATTTTGTAGACTTTTGTTTTACACCTGCTAACATTCCAAAACCAATCCGTTGATTAATAAACTCGACCATCGAAGGGCAGACAACTCTGTTTGTTCAAGGAATTTTGGCCAAGTAAAGAAACTGTGTTGGAAAATGTCATTTAAAGACTTAAATAATACACCTTCGCGTGTGTTTCTTCAATTTTGTATATTTTTATCTATTCAAGAAAAGGTGTATGGTGGTGGGGATGGGGCACCACCGTTAGACGGCGATTACCGAATGGACGAATCAACTAATTTCACTTATAATCCCAAATCTCCACTTGTTTATTGCTCATATTTGTAAGTCTTTTTTTTGTTTTTTCAATTTTTTTAATTATTTTTATAGTCATTTAATCGGTATGTTGGATGCTGTCAGCTAAATCTTGTAAATTGTTGATGAAGTCAGCTCACCTCACTGAATTAAAGAAATTGAGATGGGATGCTCCTAGTCCTAGATTAAGTCTTAAGACACAAGATTGCCGCTAGGCGTACATGACTATACATGTATATAGCCTACTTGTCACTCTTCTAGACTATTCACTCCCAGTAGCATTTTTATACGGCCATATTTTCATGTGGACGTATATTTTCGTCGCCTCTGTCCATCTCGTGTTCTTTCTATATTCGTGCATATCGGACCGTAACTTCCAGGATTATGGTCCCTGATTATACAAAAAATCACATTTTGATTTAGCTCGTTCTCTGTCCATCTCTTACAAAATGTGGGTGTATCTTGCCTGGCAACCGCTGGTTTCGCCTACCTTTAAACTTTGCTTGATTCACAAATTGAAAGAAATCTACCAAAGCAACAGGTTTAGAAGAAAACTAAATGGCCTGTCATAAATCGCAAGTCGGCTGAAATGTAGTGTGAGGACATCTCAGATCACCTTTAACGCTCCCTGAAAATTTCAAGTCTCTACAACCAAGCGTACCTGTACTAGCAAAGGTGCGAAAATGTAATAACCTCCAAGCGACATTCTTTTATTAACATGTAGCACCTGTTGGAAATCAAATTTAATTTGTTTAAAAGAATTAATTATATACCCAAATCTTGTTTGCCCCTGGTATAAGAATTTAACACTTGCTACATTGTAGTCCCTAACGTCTTCATTGTAGAGACATTTCATTTGTTTAAAAGAAATTATAATATGAAGATCATATCACTGTTTCAGGCCATTTGAGTTTTTGAATTGTAGTGATCCTCTAGATTTAAATGGAAACCAGACAGAAAGGCAAAGACTTGGGTATGGTTGTACGAAGGTAAAGATATTTCTATATTGAATATAGAGTTTTTGACCACAAATAATTTATTTATTGAAGTACTTTTATTAAAAAAAATTAATAAATATGATTACATGTATCTAGTCACAGACATACATGGATTATTAAATTTTCGTACAGTGAGTTACAAATTATTCTGACTTCTATTAGCGGAGAGAAGGGAATTGGGGTCTAATTTCCACTTACATGTAACACAGACTACATGTAGGTAATTTCGGGACAACATAATTTTTATTTCAAAAATTTGCTAGCGCAGCAGAGTCTTTAGCTGGGGAGGGAAAATGGATAATCAAATCCATTCTAAAGTGAACGCGTTAGGCCATTCAGCCACCTGACTCATTGCTGATATAAATTGTTGATTGATTGAAGCAGGACAGAGGTCAGGACACAGCTGTCCAGTCATTTGGATGGGATGGAAAACCGAGGTCCCGTGTATACATTGGCAGTTGGAATTCAATATAAGAGTAGGCCATAGTGTTGCTGGTCGGGCAAAATTTCCTTCATGGCACACTGTATGGCATATGCCCGTCTTCATTAGCCCAGACAGAGCAGAACATTAAATCCCATTTCATATTATTTTTGATTGATTGAATGTTTATTTTGTATGTAGTGGGGTGGTGAAAAGTATGAAGATGTAGAGATAACTAAGGTTGTTTGTGAAGTATTTGCTGGTATAGAATGTTATGGAAATCGAACGTTTTTAAAAGATGGATTTCCTTGTATAAAGTGAGTACTGTATTTACTATAGTTTATTCATTATCATGAAGGCATCATGGTACAATGTTGGTGTCAGCCATTATTGCATATGTGATAGAACTGGTTAAACACATTCCAAATATAATTTTAACACAGAGATCATTGTACAAAAGATACAAAGTAATGGTTTGAAGAAACGGGAAGTGAAGCGAAAAATGGAAAACATGTATACATGTATATCTGACTGAAGTAACGAGCAATACCAGATGCACAGTCAAATATATGGGGGGAACCAAAATCTATTAAGAGCTTAAAGCCTCTACAGGTCTTAAACATACATTATGCAAGAGCTAAATCTGCCTATTGCAGGTCTTTCTTTAGGCCTGAAATGTTATCTAAATTATTAGTTAGATATTAATTAACTTATCCAGACCATAATCAACTCTCGATGCCATCTTTTGTGTTTGATTTTCACTGGATTTGAATCCGATCTGCTGCTCAACATTCATTGATGATTAAATGCAAAAGTGGATAATCGAGAATATGTTGTTTTATCATACCGACTTTGGTACTTATTCCATAATGTCCCTTTAATTAATGCTATATTTTCAGATATAATGGACACTATTTTGTAACAACATTGATTTATTCCGTTTTACTGGGTTTTCTGGGAATGGACCGATTTTGTTTAGGACATACTGGTAAGTCAACTAATCATATTTAGAGTAATTAAATATATTTTACGAATACAAAAGCAAATTTTTTATTTAATAACAGGTACGGGGTTTGACATAAGACAGAGAACAGTTCACATGGTAGAGTTACTGTTCTTGATAATAATGGATGCTTTTGAAACTAAAATCAAATATTTACAGAAATTAATGTAATAGCCTAAAAATCAGGTGTTAAAGTTACAATTTCATATGTTTAAAATGTATTAAAATAAAGCCCTAAAATAGATGGTATCTATAAACAGTCCTACCTTGTTAAAGAATAATCCTATTAATCCTAAAATTCACTATTGCCAGTTGAGAAATTGGCAAAAATATCATGTTCATCTTCAAATTCAAACGTTTGAAGATAGCTACTCCATGGTGGAGAATAGAAAACAAGGGAGGTAATTGTGTTATTATTTCCGGTGTAAATGGGTTTTAAGTGTGAGAATGACACCCATGATCGTATAATAGTGAGTTGACAACCTATTGAGCAAAAGACATAGAAATAATTATGTTTTGAATTTCTTAGAAAATATGAAATTGTAACTTTAAAAGAAACGTATATTTTCAAAGTCGTGGCAGATATATCTTTTCATTGGAACGAAAATAGTTGGAAGAGGATGGATGTAATATAAGTTTATGAATAAACTGAAAAGTTAGAGGTTGTAGTTTGTAATGAGAATGAAGGAATAAGCTTCATGCTATTGCAAGAAATGAAATCTAAAAAATTGGATAATGAAATGATAAAGGTCTTTTTAAACAAAAAAGGTCCATTTCCGGCGTAGATAATGAAGCTACCAGTTTGTTTATGTTAATGGTTGTGTTTATTTTGTTATTTCAGGTACAGCAGTTGGTAAATTATTGACACTAGGTGGCCTCGGTATCTGGTGGTTTATTGATATAATACTACTTGTAACCGGACGATTAAATCCAGCAGATGAAAGTAATTGGGTTCCGTATTATTGAAAGACTTACAGTGATGAACAAACAACCAAGAGAAAGGGCTTGTTTCACAGAAACATGGAGACAATGTAGTTTATATAGTCCCTTATTATCAAAACACTGGACAATATGGTTGACAGATACTGCCACAGTATTGTTGAAGCTATCGATTGTGTGACCATGGATGTTGTGATAAAAGACAGGTGACTCTACAGGTACTGCCAGAGTATTTTTGAAGCTATGGATTGCGTTACCATGCTTGTTGTGATAAAAGAAAGGTGACTCTACAGTAATTGCTTCTGTACAGATGTAATTTGCAGAGCTCCTTATTATTGAAACATTATTGAATGCCATCATTGACAGATACTGCCAGAGTAATTTGAAACAATGGCCTTTGTTACCATACTTGTCGTGATATAAGAAAGATAACTCTTACAGCCATTTCTTCTGATTGGAAGATATAAATAAATAATCTGACATCACTAGGCCTGGAAATACATGTAAGGATTTTATTTCTACATGACCAATTGATGGGCCCTATTGATTTAGTACCTGATGTTTTTCACTTTGTGTGATACTTGTATTAAAACTATCAACAAAATGCATTAAATAGATAAATCTGAGCGGACAAATTGACTGGCATCAGGGAAATTGTATCTGATAAAGCCTGACATTGTTCCTGGCATTGATCCTAACAGGTGCCGTATTTCCAGGCTTGGACATCATGGATGTGTTCAACTTTAGATTTGACGGATATGACTAATCAGTAAAATCACAGAATGATGTGGCAAATTGTTCACTGAGTTGAAGTTGAACTTGGGAAAAGTGGATGATAAAAGATTCTGAATCTTTGACCAGCAGTCATCTAATTTCAGATTCTTGTTGATATTGCAGAGCAGTAACCGACAATAATAATGATAATAAAATTGTCTGTAATAACAGTTTGTTTTTAATTCCTTTATGGAATGTTGTGATACTGAACAACTTTATACTGTGTGTTATAACTAATTGAATCAATGTGGAATATATTCACACTACTGTCATCATCATCATCTTTATCATTGCATCTCCATATCATACATATACATAGTATTTCATTAATTATCATCATCATCATTAATATCTCATTATCATCATTATACAATATTTATGTTGGTCTACTTAGAATATGGAATAATTGCATTCATAATGACGTTACATGTATCTGAGGATGGCTTCCTTGCCGATATTAGGAACAATGTACATGTACCTCTTCCTTTTCATCTTCATTAGCCAAGTTGGAGCTGAACAGAAGGACGTTTAAACCCCATTTCATTTCATTTCACTGCTTCCTATGTATATATAATTGCTTTAGAGGTGTTTATAAGTGTAGGCCTAAATGTTTATTTGTTAAATATATCTGTGTGTTCCTTATTGCTATAAACAATGTATATTATATAAACTGTAATTATATAATGGTCCCACTGAGTAGAAGAGCCTGAGTAACCTCGTGAGTATAGTGCTGGCTCACTAACCAGGTTAGGTGGTCTCAGGTACAATCCCAGTGTTGGCCAACAAAGTTCCTAAGGATTTTAAAAAAAAAACAGCATAGGTGTACTAGTGAAAGCTGACATGCCATTAAACAACATTTCATTTCATTTCATTTGTACTAGTGAACAGACAGTTGGAAATCGATGAATAGTAGGCCTTAACACCGCTGTGTCCCGGGCAAAATTTCTCTCAGTACACTGCATGGCGATGTTCGTCTTCATTAGCCCAGTTGGAGTAGAACAGTAGGATGTTAAACTCGATTTCATTTCCAGTGAGCAGCGGATTGCTGTTAGGAGCTCTTTATGTTCACTATTTCATTCCATTATATTTTTTCCAAGATCATTTCAATATTATAATCAGTTGTGCTGTGATCATGTGTAATTAGGGTTTTATTGTAAACCAAGAAATTAATACAAAATGGTTGCTGAAATGAAATGGGGTTTAACGTCCTACTGTTCTGCTCCTATACTGGGCTAATGAAGACGGGCATATGCCATACAGTGTGCTATGAGGGAAATTTTGCCCGGGCAGCGGCACTATCGCCTACTCTTATATCGAATTCCAACTGCCAAGGGATCTATTACGTGCATTCCAGTGTTTACACGGGACCTCGGTTTTTCGTCTCATCTGAAGGACTAGACAGCTGTCCTTGTCAGGCCCTCCATCCTGCATCACTGACAAGGGGAAACCACGTCGGAAAATCGGGATGAACTTTCTCGGCCAATGCAGGGATCGAACACCCGACCTCCAGGCTAGCAAGCCAGCTCCTTAACCACCTAGCCACCGTGACTCCCCAAAATGGTTGCTCCCAGGAGGAAGTCAACATATGAATGTGTATTGAAATCAAAGCAGTCCGCATCATATCATACTATTAACTTGTAGCAAAAATCTGAAGTCCAGTTGCATTTATTACATGGTTTATATAAACAACTTGATTAAAATATTATTTTATGACCGTGTAATAAATTATATTGTACGATTACAGATATTTCTTGTTCACATGCTTCATTTATTTCAAGAAAGAATTGATTTTGTAAAAATGTATGTTCAAATATTAATTTATGACTGTATAAGGAATTATATTGTTTTATGTACATGAATATATAGTAATTACATTGTATAATATACCATCTATCATTCATACTAAATAAATCCATTTTATTTACTGGTACAATCTTTTCATTTGCCTACATTTAATTTGGACGTACATGTATATAGTTGTCAACTGTGTCCGATGTCGGGTGGTCCGGCTTGTCGTCCATCCAGAATTTCTGGTGAACATACAACAGGACAGAGCACTTTTAATTATAATACTAGATGGTGCTACATCATTTTTCTGATGTTTGCACCATGGACTGGTAGAGAATTAAATTAAATGAAATTAGTCATTTATATTTATATAGCGCGATTTATCCAGGATGCCTGCTCAAATGCGCTTAGTCGTAAGCTCTCGTGAAAAGAATAGTCTTCAATCTGGATTTAAAGGTGTTCGAATCTTTTATTTGTTTTAGTGTTAGGGGTAGATCGTTCCATAAAACAGCAGCAGACTTCATGAACATCCTATCACCGTAGTTGGTTCTAGATGTAGGGACAGAAAGTTGGAGTCAGTCCACTGCCTGTCTTAGCTGATGCGTTGGTTTGTACTCTTGTAGCAATTCTTGCAGATATTGAGGTGCGCTGCCATTAATGGATTTGTGAGCAATAACTAGAATTTTATATTGGATTCTGGATCTAATAGGGAGCCAGTGTAATTCTTTTAGAGCTGGTGAAATGTGTGATCTGATTGAAGTTCGGGTAACTAATCTAGCAGCAGTATTTTGAATCCTTTGGAGTTTGTTAAGTAAAGTTTGATTGATTCAATATAATAGGCTGTTACAGTCGTCAAGTTGTGATGTTACCATGGCCTGAACAAGAGATTTTACAGAAGAGTTATCTAGATATCGCCAAATATGTCTAATATTTCTGATATGAAAATGTGCCTTTCTGCTGATATTATTGACATGTTGGTCTAAGTGATGAGTGGAATCCATGATAATTCCAAGATTCCGAGCACTGGCTGAAGGTTGAATAACACAGTTTCCTAATTCAAAGTCTGGAAGGTTAATTTTGGATCTCGAATGTTTGGAGCTAATAATGAGGTATTCCATACAGTTTAAATCTAAGATTAGGTTTAGACTATTTATGGACACAAAAGCCTTGCAGACAATTGTTCATGGATTCATGAAAAAAATGTATTTTGATCATCAAAACTGTTTAAATTACAAATACAACAGACACTATAATTCCATGTATATAAAGAATATTGTTTATTAACCATTCCCACCATTTTATAATAAAAAATAGCACTTTAATTATATTTTATATTAGTATCAGGCTGATGTACACACAGACATCTCTTAAGATTATAAATAAATGGAAGACACATGTATTCTATCCTTCTATAGCTAACAAAAGGTTTTGTTGTCATGCAAAATATAAAGCCCCCTTTCTTAGAAAGAGAGAAGGCGGGGGAAACAAGTCGTTTTAAGTATTTTTGTTTAAGGTCTGTCATTGTTAAGTGTTGTGGTTTCGATCCCAAGCTTGTATACGATGAGGAATATGACCACCTGCCTAACCCTGTGTGTTTTTCTGGGTTCTCCAGTTACCTTCATATTATAAAAGCCCTGAAATACTGTTGAGTTGATGTTAAACCCAATTTCTCTTTCTCCATCAAAAGTAAACAATAACAATTAGTTTAACTAAATTATAATAATAACAAAAGTATATAATACCATCATGGATAAAATATATGGAGAGAGAGAGAAATGGGGTTTCACGTCCCATCAGCACAAACTAGGTAATTTCGGATTAACATATGGTTCAATTTTATTTCATTAATTCACTTGCTCGTAGGGGTCTTTAGCTGTGGGAGGAAACTGAAGGACCCGGAGAAAACCCACGAGGTTGGACAGGCGACCCTACTACTTGTCACGAACAAGCAAGGAATCGAAACCGCGCCACTTGACTCAACGACAGACCTTATGATCCACAGCGCACATGTTAACCATTCGGCCAACCAACCCCCCACTTAAATGGAATACAATCACTGGTTGTGATACAGCTTCTCTTGTGCTTTACTTCAAAACGATAAGAGAATACCTATCGAAACAACCAATTGCTAAATGATTCTCAAGGATTTCCATGATTTATATTAATTATGTTTTAATAAAATAACAGAAGTTTGTGTAGCTTTAGGGTAACTATATTGATGAATATATATAACACATTAACTCACAGGGAATAATTCTTTTTAATGCTAGGTTATGTCACACCCAGATTTATCTCTTCCTGTGTTTTTAAACTGGATGGGGGTTGGATGGCTGAATGGTTAGCGCGCGCTGTATCATAAAGCCTGTCATTGAGTCGACTGGCGTGGTTTCGAATCCTCGGTTGTACGTGACAAGGAGTAGGGTCGCCTGTCCAACCTCGTGGGTTTTCTCCAGGTCCTCTGGTTTCCTCCCACTGCTAAAGAGCCCTACGCGCAAGCGAATTATTGAAATAAAATTAACCATATGTTAGTCCCGAAATAACCTAGTTTGGTTCGAGTGGACGTTAAACCCCATTTCTCTCTCTCTCTTTAAACTGGATCAAGTACAACTGCTGTTGGAATTCATTAAAAGAGTAGGCTGTAGTGCTGCTGTCCTGGAGTGATTTCTCTCATAGCACACCTTATGGCTTTATGCCTGTCTTTATTAGCCCAGTCAGTGCAGAAAAGTAGGACGTTAAACTCCATTTCATTTCATTTCAGGAAAACTGGCTTTCAAAAGATATTTATAATACATGTCTGGCACAAAATTTACGTAGTATAGCATCACATGTAAATAATTAAAAAATTATTTATCAAAAATAGAAATCATTGTATATCAAATAACAATAACAACAAAATAAAAATCAATGATAATTTCTGTTGATTATTTGTGATTATCATGAATATTATACTAATACACATTTAAATTTTATTAGTATTCCAGAAAAGTCTTTTGTTATTTATTAATGATACATTATGTAAGATTTAGATAAAGAGCCGGCCATTCTTGCTAGAATAGTTCAAAAACAGACAGGACGGGGGCCTGACAAGGACAGCTGTCTAGTCGTTCGGATGGGAGGAAAAACCTTAGATCCCGTGTACACATTGGCATACACGTAAAAGATCCCTTGACAGTTGGAATTTGATATAAGAGTAGTCCGTAGATCCGCTGTCCGGGCAAAATTTCCCTCATAGCACACTGTATGGCGTATGCCCGTCTCCATTGGCCCAAGTTCGGAGCAAAACAATAGGACATTAAACCCCATTTCATTTCAAAATCAGATAATCTAAAATGAACGTATAGAAAATTTCATTCAAATTACTCTATTGTGAGCAAAGATATTAGCCTTTGAAGGTTTGAAAAGAAGTGTGCATTAATTGCAACCAGTGATGGCATCGAGAGTTGATTATGATCTTGACATGTTAATAATGTCTAATTAATAGTTTACATAACATTTAAAGGCTCAATACCACTCTTGTTGTAACTGAATAATATGTCCCAATCTTTATTCTGGTCAACAAATTGCACTATTTTACAATATTCCAATTAATTGATGATATAAATTTCATCTTAACACACCTAACTTAAAAAATTGGAAAAATTCAACTAAATGATTTGAAAAGCCTGACGTAAAGCTTTTCAAATGTGACTTGGATTTAAAAATATTTTTGAACCCTCTGGACAAGTAAAATAGGATTTAATGGATAATTTACACAACAGGTAGGACACTAACACATCTAGTACTTAGAATAAGGCTATTTTTTATTTTCTAGAGCTGTCAAGCCAGTAAAAGTGTTATTGTCCCTTTAAGGTCCACCAAAGAAAGCCCTGCAATAGGCAGATTTAGCTCTGTATGTTTAATATTATCTGGTGTTGAGTAAGTAAGATGGACTTGCAATGGGTTGAACCATGGACCTTATAATATATGGACTGGTTACGAGAAGCAATATCGCTAAATGCCTGCCGCGCGAGAAAACACAAGAGAAGTCAATAGCGATATTACTGAATGTCTTCGCTAATTAGCTATAATCACCCGTTTTCATCGTTATGTTTTGTGTCCTGAATTTACCAAAAACTGCTAAAATAAACTTTTGTTTGACAAGATAATTCATTAACTATAATTTCCGTTGCATATATGTATACATTTTATTTTAAACAACTTTGTAATTACCATCTTCAAAGTACACGTAGACCGCATCTCTGAAACGAAGACGTCACCATTGTTTGTTGTTATATGAACAATCGAAAACATACGTCAGGATTTTTACTTTCAATCAAAATCTATTTATTATTTCATATTTTTCTGACATAATTCTGATACACGTGAATCTAAGGCATTGTTTGGAAAAAAAATCATCGATTTTTAAAAAAGGGAAATACAATTAATTACTTCCTAAAAACAACGAAAATAACACTTTTAGACAATTTTATGAAAAAATATGTGATTTTATTTTTGCTTTCAATCAGTGAAACATTTATTTTTGGAATTAATGATCCCTTTCTCTATAAACTTTGATATCTTATCTACGGTACTGGGAAAAATTCTTATTTTTAAAACAAATATTAGCACTTTTAAAAATCATTTTGTTTTGTGATATTTTCAAGTACCAATGCATGTACTGCTCAACAATCATGAATAAACCTGTATTTGATTTGACCCAAATTACCCCACAGTTTTGCCCAGTTTCTTTAGATAGACTATAAAAGCGAGAAATTTTGTTTAAAATAAATTTAATTTTATTGGCATATTATTATTCAATAAAATATAAACATCCGATGGCTGGCAGATTTATTTATAGGTGTTGTAACCCATTATACTCATAATGGAGCAGTACGCATGCCAGGTAACTACAGATGCCGCAAAGGGACGTGTCTCAAATTACAGCGCGGCACACATCTCTGGTTAGGTTATTAAGCGGTTGCCAGTCCATGTATTATAAGGTCCATGGTTGAACTACCAAACAAAGGTCAAGAAAAAATGATGATAATGTGAAATTGTGAACAATTATAAAAACAGAATTCTTGGTAGCAGTGACATGCTCAAAGCACTAATCCTTAGCCGCTGAAATTTAGTTGCTGCCTTGACAAAATGCAATTCTAATCAAAGCATACTAAAGAATAAGGCCTTGATCTTCTGACAACTATTGTTGTTGTAATATTAAAAAATTAAGTTTATTGAATATATTTTTCATCCCAAACTTAATTTTTTAATATTTTGGACAGAAACGGTTGTAGACGTTTAAATTTCCAAACCAAGCACTGCTAAATTGCGTTGTAATTTCAAAACTTGAAAATCTCAAACCAAGCATTATTTCATAGATTTCTTTATATATTGTGTAATTAAAATGTTAAATAATTTAATAAAATGAGATTTTTATAATAAGCTGATTATAATATATGGTACAAAAATATATTCTATAATTTATTTCATTTTCAAGGTCTGTCTCCGATCCCACCAGCAAGATCGTAAACTTTATTTCCTACTTCCTTGGCCAATTTATCAACATTAACCTGAAAAAGAAGAGAATGGCAAAGTATTGTCATTGGTGATATATCAAATGATAATTGACATCTTGGCCTGATTAATGAGTATAATAAAGTAATTGAACCTCAGATGTAATAGGTGGTGTGGATGGCCGAATGGTTAGCACGTGTGCGCTGTATCGTAAGGTCTGTCATTGAGTCAACTGGTGTGGTTTTGATTTCCTGATTGTACATGACAAGGAGTAGGGTCGCCTGTCCAACCTCGTGGGTTTTCTCCGGCTCCTCCTGTTTCCTCCCACTGCTAAAGACCCCTACGCGTAAGCCAATAATTGAAATTAAATTAAACCATGTTAGTACCGAAATGACCTAGTTTGTGCTGAGTAGACCCCTCTCTCTCTCTCTCTCTCTCTCTCTCTCTCTCTCTCTCGCTGATGTAATAGTTAATGGGCACCTAATATGGAAATGAACAATCCTTTAAATACCTCATACAAGGGAGAGACTGAATACACTGAATGACCTGTGAACATCTGCCGCAATGTGGAAGGTTAGGAAAAGGGCCTCTTGCAGTAATGTAGGTCATATCGGGACTAACATATGGTTAAATTTTATTTCATTAATTCGTTTGCATATAGTGGTCTTTTAGCAGTGCGAGGAAGCCGGAGGACCCGGAGAAAATCCAAGAGGTTGGACAGACGGCCCTACTCCCTGTCACGTACAAGCGGGTAATCGAAACCACGCCAGTTGACAGACCTGATCATACAACGCGCAAACGTTATCCATACAGCCACCTACCCCCGCCCCCCCCCAAGACAAGTTTTAACTGAGAGCTAAAGACTATTTATGTTAACAGGCCTGGAAATAACGGATTTAGATGTACCTGACAAAATGGCAGGGGTTTTAGATGTACCTGACAAAATGGCAGGCACTAATGAAATAGTATGTGACATTTTCAACTTAGTGCTGGACATGTATTAATAATATCAATAAAAAAGAGAAATCAGTGCCAGACAAAATGACAAGGCACCAGAATCTGTGCCTGACACTGTCTGTGACAGGTGCCTTATTTCCAGGCTTGTTTATGTAGATTTGTTTTCCAGATGCTACAAGCATAATTTTTTGTGGAGTTTTGGTACTATAGAAATGGACATTTATTTTATTAAACCCCTGTTCAAATTCATGTACCTGTGTATCAGCCTCGGCATAAACTCGAACAACATCTTCTGTACCGGATGGTCGAACAAATGATCTGCCTTTTTTATATCCGGTTACTATGGTATCAATGGCTGCCTGTAAACCATCAGGCGTCACAACCTTTCTTTCTGCATCCGTTGTTGATATAACATTACGATCTTTTACCTACAGGTACAAAGAGAAATTGTCACATGTAGAACTGAGATGTGGACTATGCCTGAAGGATTAAACAAACATTATGCAAGAGCTAAATCTGCCTATTGCAGGTCTTTCTTTAGGCCTGAAATGTTATCTAAATCATTAATTAGACATTAGTTAACTTTTCCAGACCATAATCAACCCTCGATGCCATTGCTATCGGAATGGAATACATTTTTGGAAAAATAATTAAACCTTGTTTTTCATTGTACTGACTTTAGTAATGATGATCGAGGCCAGCCTAAAATTCAAAAGCTAATATCTCGGTTCAGAGTGGAGCAATTTGACTGAAATTTGCAGCATATTCTATTTACGTTATCTATTTTTTAACTATTATAGCGAGAACTGTGAGCTCTTTATCTACACTTTACTCACCTTAACCTTGAGTTGTCGATTTGGTAAATCTATATACTGTTTATTCCAATCAGACGGACTCCAATCTCGGGTTCGTAAAATAATCTCCACTAACAACATGTCTGATAACGCATCTCCAACCGTCTGCAGAAATAAAATATAACATATATATATAGATGTACATACAACAAGTCATTCTTGAAATGGGGACTTATATTGAAAAAGAAAAATCTGTGACTGAGCATGTTGAAGGATATGAGGGCATGAAGGACAATATTTGTTAAATTTTTAACCAACCTGATTAATGACATCTATAACAGTTGAAAGATGTTTTACGCCTTGTTTTTGATCACTTGTTAAACTATAAAAAACAAAAATATACATGTAAATTTAAACTAAGGGCTGCTATCACTGTAACCCAGGTATCGTTTAATCTTGTGTATCTAGCACTAATTTCTTTCACATTCGTTTAATATCAAATCTTTGTTTAAAAATTTGTAAAAATTGTTTAAAATCACCAAAAATCATCTAATTTGTACATGTGTCCAGTTTAAAGCTGACTGATTAATTTTGATAATGACTGTCCAATTTACAAGTTTTTAATTTCCTGATTACTGTTCAAAAATTAATCATTATACATCATTAATCAATTGGGTTGTTTATTTTTTAACAATGATTGAGAAATTAAACACTTGTAAATTGGACACTCATTATCAAAATTGAATGGTCATCTTTAAACTGGACAGAAGTACAAATTAAACGATTTATGGTGATTTTAAACAGTTTTTACAAATTTTTAAACAAAGATTTGATATTAAACGAATGTGAAAGAAATTAGTGCTAGATACACAAGATTAAACGATACCTGGGTTACAGTGCATATTTTTAGTTAAATAATTCTTTGGTGTAGGATGTTTAGCTGAAGGGAGGAACCAGTGATTACGTTTCTAGTGTAAGGAAAGATTTGTAATATAAGAATCTTCAATGAAAAAAATGGAATTAAACAGTTAGAAGGTTTAATGGATCCATGTGATTTAAAGCGGGGACACATGGATCCAAAATTTTCACAGTCTACAACAGAATACAATAATAATAAATAATAATAATAATAGCTTTATTTCCAAACAAGGGTCCACAGGGGACACGGTACAGAGCAAACAAAGAGAGAAAACCCAAATGACAGTCAAGTAAGAAAATATAATAGTATACATAGCTTCAACAGGGGAGATACACATATAAGTACCATATGCACTAAGGCTTCATGCCGAAAAAAAAAAACGGCTCATGAGAACATTATTATTAATCATGAAAGGGAGATAAATCCACTTAACTCTTAATGTTACAGATCAATATTAAGCATTACAGAACAGCTGTATTCATCCGCAAAAAAAAATAGTACCTAAAATTCATGTACATTATATAGGTTTAAACGTCAAATGAGGTCAAAGGAATAGAGACGTCTTTAATATATACTAAATATTCGTATCATCCCAAATCGACAATAAAACAGTGAGAAAAGGGAAAATCTAAGTAATGGCAATCTAATTAACATAAAATTTACGACATAATGGATTCTTCAATGTTTTGATGGTGATCATGAAGAAAATAGGCCTACATCTGTTCTAAGGAATCCGATAAGATTTTCAAAAAAAAGATCAGTAGAATTATAGATTGTTATTCCACAAAGTCGAAAGGTATGTTAGATTTTTCATTCAGTCAAGTTAGAGCGAGTTTATTGCCGTACTTTGAGCTCCAAACCCGATAGAAATGAAGGCGGAAGTGGCCATAATAGTTTTACAGATCACTACGTGATGGCGCTCCTGCATCGCGACAAACGGGGCCTATTTGTCAAGAGAAATAACATAAAGTTAGACCCTACACCTTGTCACATAGAAGATTAGACTGATGACCCTACACCTTGTCACATAGAAGATTAGACAGACAACCCTACAACTTGTTACATACAAGCCTGCCACTGAAATATGGTGAAGTCCAGACAACCCTACAACTTGTTACATACAAGCCTGCCACTGAAATATGGTGAAGTCCAGACAACCCTACAACTTGTTACATACAAGCCTGCCACTGAAATATGGTGAAGTCCAGACAACCCTACAACTTGTTACATACAAGCCTGACACTGAAATATGGTGAAATCAATAACCAAAAGAACAATCTCCCAAATTATTTATATACATCTTAAAGAATTATCTCCCAGAATTCAGACAAAATGGGGATGCACGATTGTCAGTCCGGAACGTCTCACATTGACAGAATTGCAATCGAGTGACGTGGAATACAGTTCTGTCACTGTTCCATCAGTCCCCCTCCGTTCACTCGATTGTCAGAATTTTGGGGATTAAAAGAATTTAATTCTGGAACGATCAATCGAGTATCCTCTTACTTTAAAACTCAAGGGAGTTAACTACGCAATTTGCTATTGACCAAAAAGATCAAATATTTTTACCTGGAATTCTCGCCGGCACTGTCTGCAATTCTCTTCAAAGCATCATCACTAAATAATACCTGACATAAAGAAAATATAACACATTGAAGCCAATAATCGAAGCCAACACAAACCAGGTCATATGGCACAATTTTGTTTCAATAATTTGCTTACATGTAGGGATGTATACACAAGACGATGTTGTCTTTAATCACTGACTATTTATTACAAATTTCGAAACCTAATTAAATTCTCGGATTATCCACTGCCCACGTCTTTTTCCATGATTTTTATCTCAGAAAGTGTTGTACGTCTAACTCTTCATAAAGTTTACCAACATGTACACCAAGCACTCAATCTTTGCTTGCAACCTTAGATGTCATGCGAGCAGGTATTCCTAATCGCCACACTGTCGATTAGGGGAACCCTTACATTTTTGTCCTGTATACACTCCATGAGTGTTTTTCAGGGAATCCAGTATTGGATATCTCTACTTTCCATATATACCAAAAATGTCATACTTTTATTGAAAATAACCACCCGATAAATACTTTTCTGGGAACCTATCTTTAAGAGTCCTGTCCAATTTAATACTCTTATTAAGTATTTAGCTACCTATATCCATCATTCTTTAATGGCAATTGGTGAGAGCTATTTATTTTGAAAATATCAGTAGCCCAAGATTTATAGTAAATTTTCTTGTCGGCAAGTAGGAGGTTATTCTCATCCCGTGTCTATCAACCATTTTACCACCTTGACCATACTTATATTATTCCAGTCATATTCTGATTACCACTTGTTTTAAAACACAGTGGACAAGAGGTTGATGGACAGGATTCTAGATTTTAATGTTCATCGGTTTTATGTGACTATAAACTTTGAAATTAAAATATTTTGCACGATAAACATCCCAAAGTCCTCCCGTTAAAACCCCCAAAAAGGTTCTACTTACTGTTCCATGACCATTAGCTTCAAAATAAACACCAATATCGAAATCTTGAGCCTTGTGATGTAAATGTTTAACTCCTGTTGGTACACATGCCACCGGAACTTTCTATAAATAAAAGAAATTATCACTTTAAAGAGACAATATTGTAAATTGTAAAAAAATATATGGTAGTTAAAAATACAGGATTGCGCTAGTATGTGTTACCAGAAAAGAGCTTTGCTCAGGCACCGAGCTTCACGCGATGCTTTAGAGCTTCACTTAAACATACAATATGCACAAGCTCGATCTGCCTATTGCAGGCCTTTCTTTAGGCTGAAATGTTATTTAAATTATTGATTAGACATTAATTAACTTATCGAGACCATAATTAACTCTCGATGTCATCGATAGCCTGCGATATTTAACAGATTGGAATACATTTTTTGAAAAATAATAAAACATAAAATTGGATAATCGAGACTATGTTTTTATCGTACCGACTTTAGTAATCATGATCAAGCTTTGCCTAAAATTCTTAAGCTAATATTTTGGTTCAGAGTGGAGCAATTTGACTCAAATTTTCAAAATATTTTATTTACGTTATCTATTTTTCAACTATTACAGCGAGAACTGTCAATCTCCCATAATTCCCCTTTAATATCATCAGAACATAATGAAAATAATAATTACCAGTGTATCTGTGATATATTCTGTAGAACTACCATTAGCATAGGCTGTTTGAACTAATCCTAGTTTTAAATTGATTCCACTTCTAGCTACAAGCTCTTGTAAATACCCTGCTACCTGAAAAACATGAAATGAAATGAAATTACATTAAACATCCTACTGTTCTACTTGGACTGGGCTAATGAAGATGGGAATATGTCATATAGTGTGCTATGAGCAACAACTATACACTATACATTGTCCTATACCTGGCACTCCGTCCTGCACCACTGACAAGGGAGAACATACCCGAAAAATACTGAAGAACTTTCTCAGTCAACAGCAGGATCGAACAACTCCAGGTTAGCGAGGCAATATCTTACTCTCTGAGCCACTGTGGCTCCCTCTGAGAAACATATAAGATATAGAACATCTCTGTCTCAGTGGTGCAGGACAGAGGGCCTCACAAGGAACAACATCTAGTCATTTGGATGAGACAAAAAAAAAATAAGTCCTGTGTGTTAAATCTTGATGGGACACAATGGATTTCAATTTAGGGAACAAATAGGCTTGAATTATAACATAAGTTGACTAGAATGTGACTATACTTTATTAGAGTAGGCTGTAGCGCTGCTGTTCCTCATGGCACAATACATTGTGTATTCTCATATTCTTTAACCTGGTTGGTGCAGAAAAGTAGAACTTTAGACCTCATATCATTTATTTACAATTGAATATTGGTTAAAACATCGGTAAAAATTGTCAACTGTATGATAAATGCTGATGTGCACCGGTATCAAATTTGTAAATGATATTTTTATGTTTTATGAAACAGTTGTTAAAGCACTATAACTCTGTGTATTGCGAATTAAATGTGATAACAGTTCAATAATTAAATATCGGGGTGTTTGACCCTCTTCTCACCCCTACTGGAATATTCTGGCATCATCTGTAATATATTGTGCATATCTAAAATAGTATCGGCACACTTGTTTGACTAAGTTGACCAAATATGTTGACAGGCAAATTCTATATCAATTTTATGGCCTGAACTTAAAGAGAGAAAGACAGAAATGAGGTTTAACGTCGACTCGACACAAACTAGGTCATTTCGGGACTAACACATGGATCAATTTTATTTCAATAATTTGCTTGCGCGTAGGGGTCTTTAGCAGTTGGAGGAAACCGGAGGACCCGGAGAAAACCCATGAGGTTAGACAGGTGACCCTATACCTTGGCACGAGCAAGCGGGAACTCGAAACCCCGCCAGTTGACTCAATGACAGACCGTATGATACTGTGCACACATGCTAACCATTCGGCCATCCAACCCCCACTAAAGAGCACATAAAATAACCAGACTTAATCTATATGTACAGTGTTTATTATATACTGACAATAATTAAATTCAAATCCATTGATAATTAATTGAGACATATATAGACCACAATGTAAAGTGTCTATAGTAAACAATAGTTTGAAATCGGCAATACTATATACCGGAAAACACCGAAAAACACCGGAAAACTACTGGACAACACCAGAAAACTACCGGAAAACACCATTTTATACTGAATACCGGAAAACACTGGGAAAACACTAAATACCGGAAAGCACACTAAATACCGGAAAATAGCCCTTCTCCGGGTTACCTATTTAGGGTGTTTTCCAGTATTTAGTGTGTTTTCCGGTATTAAGTGTGTTTTCCGGTATTTAGTGTGTTTTCCGGTATTTAGTGTTTTTCCGGTGTTTTCCGGTATTCAGTATAACATGGTGTTTTCCGGCAGTTTCCCAGGTTGTTTTCTGGTTGTTTTCCGGTATATAGTATAGCCCGTTTGAAGTACATATAATTTTGTTTGGTCATTTTATGTGCTCTTTAATGTCAGTTATAAAGTTTAAGCTCACCAGAGTTGCTATCTTATCGCCATCCAATAAATTAAACTTTCCATCTGAAAATATCAACAATATCTACATAGTCTCTAATGATGCAACTTTCAAAGCTTTTTGTCTGATCAAATTGATTTCCTCTGATCTAATACAGAGAAAAATTGGGTTTAGCATCCACTTGACACAAACTAGACCATTTCAGAACTAACATATGGTTGGATTTATATTTCAATAATTTGGTGGCTAAGTGAGTAAGACGCTGGCTCGCTAGCCTGGAGGTCACAGGTTTGATCCCGGTGTTGGCCGAGAAAGTTCATCAGAATTTTCCAGCATGGTTTCCCCCTTGTCAGTGGTGCAAGACGGAGAGCCTGACACAGACAGATGTCTAGTTGTCTGGGTAAAATTTCCCAGGCGGAGCAGAACATTTAAACCCCATTTCATTTCTTTTTTTCTTTAGCAGTGGAAGAAAATCGGAGGACGCATAGAAAACTCACAAGGTTGGACAGGTGACCCTACTCCTTGTCACGTACAAGCTGATAATCGAAGCCATGCCAGTTTACTCAATGACAGACCTTTTGATCTTAAGCACATGTGACACCATTAGGCTACCCAAAACCCTTCCACTGTTTGTAAACCAAGGAATATAACTCTTATCATATACACTTGAAAATACAGATATACAATAGAATTTTATATCAGTAGATTCAGCCTGTGAATTACTTTAAGAACATACCTTGATCAATATAATAATAAACAATACGATCAGCATCACCATCAAATGATGCACATCGTATACCAGCTTCTACTTTCATATCTATAATAAAATAATGATCATGATAATCATAGCAGTTTAGATCATCACATACAGAGCCTTACTTATGTATATACAGGTCACAATTCTATGGAATACAATTACTGCTTATTACTGAGCAGCGTTTACACTAGGCTTCTCTAGTCATAAATCAAGCAATAATATGCATGTACACAACAATACTTGGTTAATGCTGACCAACCAGAGACACGCTACTAATTTAGTAAAAGCTGTGATTGTATTCCATTCCATAGAATTCAGACCTGTATATTCCAGTACAATTACTAAATGCCATTGAAACAATTTATCTATGGTAGGGGAGCCATACGTTAAAATGGAAAACTGATCTAAATTATTATATATAGGCAACATATAATATATTTTATGTAAACGTTTTAATTTTTATAATGTTTTTAAACATTAAAACATGCCAGCTCTTCATCTAACCTCCCATAATGTATCTTTAAGTCTGAGAAAGCTTTGTGGTCAGGGCCTGTAGTTATATTCTACACAAAAATAAAGAGATTAACTCTTTAAACATAAGGGTAAGTCAGCTGTGTAGGTTGGCTGGCAGTGGATTGAAATTTGAAAACCTTTGATTTCAGATCTGTTATCTCAATGATCGAGCACTACACTGCAGTTGTTTGATCTACAGATCTTTGAATTACTGAGACAGAGAGAGAGTTTAACACCCTCTAGACACAAACCAGGTCATTTCGGGACTAACATATGGTTCAATTTTTTTGCAATATTATGCTTGCAAGCCGGGGTCTTTAGCAGTGGGAGGAAACTGGAGTACCCGGAGAAAACCCATGAGGTTGAACAGGCAACCTTACTGCATTGATAATCATTTGCCATGTTCTCCAATTTTAAAACACGCCTATAAAGTACTCACAACAGAATAATCAGTTATGCTCAAGGAACAAAGCTCATCAATAGATACTTACCAACAGGTAATTTCTGTTGAACTTTCACGTAATCTGCTCCACACTAAAAATATGAACATAATAACAGTTTATGTTTAAAACTAAGCTTCATTTACAAAATACCTGCACATGTGAGCATGATGTGGGAATAAATTTGCAAAACTTAATGCTCTTGAAGGATAAAATTATGTATACAGTCCAAAACATCATTGCCTCAAAACGTTACTGATGTACCAAAACTTGAACGTGTGAAGTTAAACTAGAAGTCAATATAAACAGATTCTTTTATCTGAATTGTGAATTTGGAACAGATTCCCAAACTTTTGTCAGTATTAACCGAGTTTCACACATTTTCTGAAGATTTCTCTTCTATTTTATTGTAGCTGTAGACATTCTGAAATCAGTAAAATGAACCTGTACGTTTAATCTAAAATGGCAAGAAAATACCTGGTAATTGAGTCTTCCTTCACTTCCATCATTGAAGACTTGTACATCTAGAAGATCACTAAGATGAGACAATAGAGATCGTAATTTAGGGGCGCCCACACCATTAGCAGCATCCACGTATAATTTCCTTGAGTAGTTTTTACATGGTGTTGGTTCTTGCTGTAAGAATATAGCCATAACAATTCTCGTCAAATAATCACCGTTAATCTATTTGTTAGGGTTAATGATAAATAATGACTAGATATAGACTTTATTATTGGCAATTATCAATCAGTTAAAACCATTAATCCAAGACGATTCAATTGTTTAGTATTAATCACTGATACGTTCAGGATTATCAGCAAGTTAATTGAATTATAGTATGCCGCTACGTGCTTGTGATTGACACTCAACATAACATGGTTAATCCAGGAAAAATATGATTAGAGTTTTAAGATGATTTTTTTTTGCCACTTCTACAAAAGAATCAGCAGTACCTCAAAACTTTATCACCAAAAACAAAATTCAATCGCCACTTTCATTATATTATCGCAAATTGCGACTCTGGCGCCCGAAAGTGTGAGCCCTACTCATAAATGAGATCTATCATTTCAGTATGACAACAGTTCAATTAGTCTTACTTTAAGGCAGGACACTACCTAAGAATTTTACATTGATAACAGAAACTTGCCATTTAGTGTAATATTAGTATATGATGTCCCAAATCAGATTTGATAATTTGAGCGCAAAATGTTTATTTGTTGCCATGGAAATAGTGGCCATATTGGATTTTTTTATATATTCACGGTGGCTATGTTAGGAAATCAAAATCTTCAACAATTTTATTGAAACAAACTATTTGTGATTTGGAATAACATATAGAGGCATTAAAGAGTGCAATAAGGCATAAATTTTACTATTTGAATGTTAATAAAGAACATTTTGCATCCCACATAAAACAAGTGGGTGTGGCCGAACACACTACTAAAAAGATTTTGTACAATAAAATGTCCAAATGTATAACAAACACTTTGAAAATCACCTTATTGCAAACAGTAGCTATAGTACTAATCGTATTCCAAAGAAGAGACCATTATCTCTCATAGATTTTGAGAATTTGATTTTCTAAGACCTGATATGGGTGAAAAATTGAGTACGGAAAAAGCAAGTTAAAAGTTAAAAGTTTGATTTACCTATATAAATGACTAAATATTTAACACTATATATATATAAAGGCTGGACACGACTTGAAAAATCAACAAATTTTAACTATTTTCGGCAATTTTAGATATTTTGTTAACATTTACTTGTTGTATGTACATGTATAGTAAGCATGATATATATTAACATTATCAATGTGGACAGATTACAGGAAGGATAATTAATGCTCATGAGGCCAACACTCTTTTTGGCTGATCTATCAATCTAATTGAATCCATGCCAGGGTTATTATTCTTTTCTTCCATGTAATTAAATGTCAATTTGAGTACAATTTAGCGTTCATTAAGGCGGTAAGAAATTAGTTATAGTGTTAATCTGATTCAAATACAGATCTATATTTCGTTTCGTTTTTTTATACTTTCGATGGCCTACACTACATGAAGATCTGACCGGTTGTAGTGGAAGGTCGTGTCATAGGTCATACGAGCGGCTTTTGACCCTATGACGTCAGACATTTGATTAATCAATCAGCATTGATGTTTCTAGTGGGTTACCCACAGTTCCGTGCACCTCACAACAAAAACTCGCCGTAACAGACCATTTCATTGGCTAATCCATCACACCATCCAGAATGCAGGTTATATAACAACCCTTCCAGATCCTAGTGTAGTAAAGACAAGTAAAATGAAATTTTGAACAATAAAAAAAGAAACGAAATAGGATCTGTGTTTTAATCAGATTGTTATAGTGTAGTTGTTGGCTTACAAACCTGTTTAGATAAAGCTTGGAATGCAAGAGATAATTTATTGTAATATCCTTCTTCTGTTGGTTGACCGTATGCTCCATTAGTATTCGTACAAACAACCAGATAGTGCAACTGTGGGGTGCTTAACAATCCTGAAAATATAACATATCAATTAAATAATGCTCAACAGGAATAAATGAACTTTATCTATATCAAAAAATGTTAGCGCCTTTAATTGTGGTTAAAATGATATTATAAAAAATATCAAACAAACAAGACCCTGATTGGATTTAGTTTCAGAACAGTTTACTTTAAGAATTATCTAAAAGTGATCAGGACCTATTTGTTAAAACCCCATTGGCCATTTTAGCGTAATAGCAGTCTCTAATATTAATATCAGTCAAAAAAAAATGGTTACGCCCATCGCCATTTTGTTGGTCACAAAAATTTAATTGATATATTAAATTCCGCAGTTTGCAAAATCAACAGATGGTCAAAGTTTTCAAGTAAAATTCCTGTTTTGTTATGATGTACAGCCTGGCTATCACATAGTCTACTAAGAAATGAGAACTATAATTATGATAAATGTGTACTAACCAAAGTCATGATATTCTCCTCCTAATGCCACTATACCATCTTGCAATGATTGGGCTAATGGTATACTACTTGGTCTAAATATAAAAAATATCAGATTATGTACATCGATTTATCTGACAGCCAATACATGAAATTATCACAAGTCACACTTTATTCCATACACACTTCAATGTAAGCAAGTAAAATAGTTAACCTACAAATAAATCACTGGTGACGTGAAACATAACCATCTCTCAAATCATGAAACATAACACCTCTCAAATCATGAAATATAACACTCATCTCAAATCAATAAAATAATCAACCGTGGTTAATCAGATGCTGGGCTAATATCATTGGTTTAATATCTGATAACTGATATCTTTTACTTCTTTGTTAAACATACATTATGCAAGAGCTAAATCTGTCTATTGCAGGTCTTTCTTTAGGCCTGAAATGTTATCTAAATTATAAATTAGACATTAATTAACTTATCCAGACCATAATCAACTCTAGATGGCATCGCTAGCCTGCGATCTTAAGTGGATTGTGAGCCGATTTACTGCATAACTTTCCTTCTCGATTAAACGATTAAATAGATAATCGAGACTATGCTGTTTATCGTACTGATTTTAGTAATGATGACCGAGGCTAGGCAGAAATTTCATTTGCTTAGTTTGCGGTTCATAGTGGATCAATTTGAATGAAATTTTCAGCAAATTGCCTTTACGTTATCTAGTTTTTAACTATTATAGTGAGAACTGCCAACTTTCAACTTCTAGATGTTGTTTTTAATCAGATTAGAATATGGAAGCATGCATTCATTTAATTTATATACATGTACTCATTTATGTTGATACATATGATTTACCATTTGGAGAGAGAGAAGAATCAATGTTTTAAATGAAGCATGTTTTGAGCAGCACTGGTAACTGATTCTGTATTAAACCAAATATTTAAAGAAATACATAGGCACTCTACCTTGTATCTTTACCATAAATAACTTTTGCTGTAACGTCAGGGTTTTTAACTTCAGCTGATAAAATGTTTCTTAAAACACCAACTATTTCATCATCCCTAAAACCAAATTATTTATATCAAAAGAAAAAAAAAACAGTTACCAGGAGAAGAATGGTTCAGTTTTTTTTCAATATGGCTTCCCCTTGTCAGTGGTGAAGTTTGGAGGGCCTAGCAAGGAACACTGTCTAGTTGTTCAGATGTAATAAAAAAAAAAAACGTCCTGTATACACATTGGTGTGCAAGTAAAAGAACCCTTAGCAGTTGAAATATGACAAAGAGTGTGCCCGTCTTCATTAGCCTGGTTGGTTCAGAAATGGAGAACGTTAAACCCCCATTGCATTTCTATGAGAATAAACTATGTCTACTATATGGAAATATCAAGTGACTTTTTAAAAAAAAAAAAAACAATATGTTTGACCTTCAGATTGTTTAATAGACTTTCCATCATAAAAAGTTAGGGCAAAATCTTTTTTGATATAATAAAAATGTAAACAATTTTGCTTTAGAATGACATTCTCTAATATATAATTTCTAAAAAGTTGGAGAAACAATAAGAAAATGGACTATATTTACAGTACCCTGCATACATATAATTTCTTTAGATGAGAAATGGGGTTTAAAGTCCCCTCGGCACAAGCTAGGTCATTCTGGACTAACTCATGGTTTAATTTTATTTCAATAATTTGCTTACACATAAGGGTCTTTAGCAGTGAGAGGAAATCGGAGGACATGGAAAAAACCATGGACAGCCGACACTAGTCCTCGTCATGCATACCACGCCACTTGACTCAATGATAGACCCTTTGATCTAACAAGTAAGATACCTGTATTACGTAGTATGACATTATCTTATATTAATTTTTTTTTTATTTAAAGTTAGAAGAACAATAAGAAAATGGATTATATTTACCCTGCATTAGCCAGCTGTGTAGCATATTTTTCCCAAATTGCAGGCATCATTTCTCCACGACAATCAACCAGTTTTACACCATTATCTTCTTCAGGATTGTGAGAGGCTGTTATCATTACTCCAATAGTTGCTATTAATAAATAGATTAGTGTTGGATTTTATCAAAATGGTCAAACCTCTTTCATTTGGGTAAAAAATGAATTTAATTATAAACAGGCATAATGCAAGAGCTAAATTCCCATTGCAGGTCTTTCTTTAGGCCTTATCAAATGTTATATAAATCATTAATTAGACATTAATTAACATGACAAGATCATAATCAACTCTTGATGCCATCAGATGGCTCAAATTTTAAATAGATTAGAACAGTTCGGCCATTTAATGATTTAATTTAAAAATGGATAATCAAGACTTTGTTTATTATCTGAACAGAAACAATGACATTCGTTCTTCTAATGTGACCTAATGTACGGTAGTTGTATAGTCACATCGAAACCTTGTAACAATACAAGCCAAATATGGCATCTTTGGAATGACATATAATGTACATTTATACAATAATCATAATGTGTGTATTACCTTTTCTGGACTTGGATGCAATGACAGCCAACAGTCCCATTCGGTAAATGACATGATCCAGTTGATCGGCACTGAAATATATATATATATATCAACCCAATTTTAAAATATTTGATTTATTCTATGTAGAATCCATATTTTCTTCCCTTCCTATAACATATCAATGATTTGAATAGGCCCCCACCCTACATCTATAATTTTACAAAATGACAATTACAAAACAAATTTCAAAGCCAAGAACTCAACTTGTGCTCACATTTATTTGTTCTTTAAAGGGCGTATGGCTCTTTTTTTTTAGAGCCTTGAAAAAGACAAAAAGGATTCTAAGAGCACATATTAATGTAATATGAACGTATTTAAAGTTATTTATATATTCGATTTTTGAAAAAAAATATATTGTAATTTCTAACGATTATGTTTGGAGAAATATGTGAACAGTTCAAACGGAACAGCAGTCGTTTACATCTGATTAGTGCATTCTACACATTTTTAAAATTATTATTTAGTTGTTTATGAATCAGTCTTTACTATAATATTACTTCCACATTGTGTTGTAGGGTATGTTTTTAATTGTTCATTACTAAATGGCACCTGACATCATAGGGTAGGCCTACACGACTTGTGTAGTGTACTGATTATAAAATGTTAATTCAAATTGTGTCTTAAATATTGGATATTAGGATCCTATAGTTTCACGGCAAGATAACAACTGATTAAAATTGATCAATATGGAATTCTAATTCGTGTTTTTAATTTCGAATATTTATTATGGAAAATATTGAATTAGAGACTTAGCCTAGCCCCTTTAATTTTTTTCAGACGGGGCAAAATAAATAGCTTGGATGTAATACCATTAGGCTATAACTCAACTGACAATTGGAGAGAAAGCTATAAGCTGTAAATATTTACGTCGAGTCAATACATACGTGTCAAATTCCATTCGATAAAGTTGAACCCATTTTGACTCGCTGTGTCAACAAATCATGTCGCCGGGTTCTAAATTCCGTACCACTGCTATATTTGCAAATAAAAAGATTGAGAGAATATTATATAAAGTTCTTGTTACTCACATGGTTCTGAAACCCGCTGTTCCATATTTTATTTGAATATTTTGCTTTCTTGGGTGTTTTTCAAGTCCTGTAGCAGCCGCTCTTTCCAAAAGCGCTTCCATCTTGCTTCCTGTTCAAAGTCGGGAATGTCAGGTATTTTTATTTTCGTTCAATAGTCAATCAATAAAATCCGACTGGATATCCAAATATAAAGACACAGACCTTTGGTATCTTTAATGACAGAAGAGTAAGAGATGAGATAACTCTTCGTCATCGCTCAAAGATAAGGACTCAGACTAATAATTATTTGCCCATTGACTTCAATGTTAAATTGGTGTAACATCACAGGCTGTATCTTTTTGCTCAACATTCCGTTGGTTCCAATCTCTATAGGCACAATGGGGACCCACAATTGGCAATCTCCTCAGCATAAATTTGTAGGGGGTTGACCGTTTAGATTTTTTTCGATACAATAATTGCTCCGCAGAAAGACATTTTACACACCTATCCCTCCGCTGTAATATCACCAGTATTACCCAAAACTGCTATAAAATTGCAAATTTGATCCCTTTTCTCCTATTCGAGACCAAAAAGTCAATCCAAAAATGCAGGAAGGGGGGAGAAAAAAATTAAAGGAAAAATTGTCTATTAATAACTCGCACTACATTCGTAGTCTTAGTCCTATATACCTCACATGTTCTTGCTGTTTGAACAAATCTGTTGTTATCTAATAAACAAACATATATGCAATACCCTGGCCAAAGAGTATGAAAATCCATGCATATAATACACTATAATACATCAGAAAACTGCGGAATTTCAGACAGAAATTTAAAAGCACATGAATTTTGAATTCCACACAACATTTTTTTTTTTGAACATAATTGCATTCTGTAAAAAGATGAGATAAACTCAATATAAATCAAACCCGGAAATACTTTAAAACAGTTATCATGATGCAATATTTAACTTTTTAACACTTTCATCGAAAACCACAAGGTTTTTCTCTGTTAACATAGTTTCAAGTGCCAATTTGTGGTCAAATCTAAGATGTTGAAACATGCAGTGCCTATCAATTTTAAAATATCTCCTATATAGCTGTATTTCCATAGAATAAGTAAGTTGAAATAATCTGATTATGTAACACTACAACAGCTTTTTCATCCCCACCCCCAGTTTGGAATCTGATAATTTAAAAGCACACGAATTTTGAATTCCACAGAACATTTTTATTTTTGAACATAAATGTATTCTGTAAAAAGATGAGATGAATTCAATATAAATCAAACCCGAAAATACTTTAAAACAGTAATCATGATGCAATATTAGACTTTTTAACACTTTCATCGAAAACCACACAGTTTTTCTCTGTTAACATAGTTTCAGGTGCCAAATTGTGGTCAGATCTAAAATGTTGAAACATGTAGTCTATGAATTTTAAAATATCTTCTATACAGCTGTATTTCCACAGGATAAGTAAGTTGAAATAATCTGATTATGTAACACTACAACAGTTTTATCATCCCCACCCCCCAGTGTTGAATCTGATACATAAGTGACCAATCATGGGTCTCCCTGTTCACTCTGGCCTGTCAAATGATTTACAAGGGTGATGGTGCCTACAACTTTCCTGACCAAGAGATATGCACAACCGTCAACACACAAGCCATTTATGTTATCTTCCAATATGAGAGGCCATGATAAACATATGGGGTGTCCTTTTCCGGCTGGGAAATGAAGTCATCACCAAAAAGCAAAGTTTACAGAGGTCCCCAGCTGGAACCTAACTTTTAGGTGTAGAGAAAGTGTGTTTCTTACTAGGAAAACCCGAACTTGTAAAAACTAGTAAATAACTGATAATATAAAAAAATGCTAATAAAAACAAAAGAAAAATTAATTTTTATTTAAATTTTCAGTTTTGATTTATTTCATGAATCGTTCTAGCAGGCCCGTAACTAGGGCCCCTGCAAAAAGTTTACCCCCCCCCCTTGAAAAAATTGTCGACCATAAAAACAACAGATATACATTGTCCGTCAATTTTACAGCACCCCTCAGAACACTTCACGCCCCCCCCCCTCCTCATTGCCCTGAGCTAGTTACGACCCTGCGTTCTGGGTTTTACGAATCTCCGACAAGAACGTTTTTTCGCCAAAATTGCCCGAATATTAAGGATGATTAAAATTTTAACAAAGCGGCGTATAATAACGGACAAGGAGGAACTGGTGTCATAATACATGTACATTGGATAAATCAATCATAAAATCGGCAGAAAAGAAAAAATGCGTGACAGATATGTCATGTAACTAATATCAAAAATTCAGTTCATTTGAATGAAATTTCAGGAAGAAATATGTGACTTATAAGAGCCATTGGATGTCCCCACAAATCATCTTTTTCCATTAATGAGCATGATACAATCTCAAAAAACAAGGACCAAGATACGAAATAAAGTTATTGACATGAAACAATAAAAGAAAGATCTATATACATGTTGCCCGAACATTGTGTTTTATGTAATAACATATATATATATATCTACCATATCCAAATACAAATATAGCTCTGAGGATTTTTCAAAATAAAAACTATTTGCATTATGATATGTATGAAGTCGTCTTGAATCAATCAATTTTGTGTTCTGGGTTAATTAGACGGGTGTTGGTTCATGACCTTCTATACCATACATGTCACCCGATTCATCATTCAAAGAATTAATTTAAATGACAACTAATCGTGAAGGTATAATCAACGACATACATTCAAAACAACTGCAGTTACTCCATGTCGCCATTACGTGGCTTTGTCAACATTTTAAGTATTCATAATTTTGTAAATGTTTTATGAAATCCTTACAATTTCGGCTTCAGTATGTAAAATATTCATATCAATAATAAATCGATTCTTGTCGGCTAATTTTTGCAATAAGTTGGGTGCTATTGTCCAAATAAAACCAAAACGCCCTTGTCGGTCCTTGTAGGTGATTAGTAGGCCCGTAAGTTTAGCTTAATTCATAAACCTATTAAAGTTTAAACGGGTCACAATTCGATGTGTGTGTGTGTGTGGTGGGGGGGGGGGTGCAGATTTGGGATGGCCTAGTGGTCTAGAGTGCCGCGCTTCACCTCTAGCTGACCGGTCACCTCTGTTTGAGGCTGTGGTTTCGATCCCTGTGAGGGTATGTGGCTTGGAAATAGGGGCGCCTTCTCAACCTCGTGGGTTTACTCCGGTTTCCTCCCACAAGAAAGAACCCTGCGCGTGCGCTGAGATAATAAAAAAAATGAAAAATAAGACTTGTCTGCGATATCACCTTCTGTGGAAGCGGACGTTAAACAACAACAATTCGATGGAATACAATTACTGCTTCTTATAATAAGCCATGTTTCGACTAGGCTTCTCAAGTCTTGATAATGATAAACAGTAATTGCATTCTATAGAATTATGACGTGTATTCCAGTTCAATTACTATTATCGAAATTATATCACACATAATTCTTTTTATTAGAATTCTATAAATATCAAATTACTTGGAGTTGGTTAGATGACAAAATCAGAAATAGATACACAACAAAAATGATACAAACTTAGAAAACAAAATACATATATGTGAAATGGTTCTATGATTGAAGGAATATCCCTTAAAAATAAATAAGTCTTCAACGTTCTTATACATATAATTAATAAAAACGCCGGATCAAGATCGGATATCATGAAGTAATTTATTTATCACCGACAAGGAAAGATATGTTATGGATATATTATATCCCTTAAAAATAAATAAGTCTTCAATTTTCTTATATGTATAATGAATACAAAAGCCGGATCAAGATCGAATATCATGAAGTAATTTATTTATCACCGACAAGGAAAGATATGTTATAGATATATATATTATACACTTAATGTCCAAAATATTTTAATAATTTTAATAACAGCGTGACAAAATTAAGTACATGAATGGGAAAGGGTTCTGTGTCTGAAAGTCCCTTAAAAATAAATGCGCTTTCAATTTTGTCTTAATAGTACAGACAGCGATAAAAGATCAACTAGCATGAAGTAAATAATTTATACTAATCAAACACAAAAACTGACAGGAGAGGTTTTTGTCAATCACACCCAAGCCATTGTATTTTAAAGTGATCGACCAGGACATAATGTCCGAAATGATTTCATAAAAACGTGACACATTTATGACAATTCAAATCGTGACAACCTGATTTAATTCGGACAAGACGGAACTATAGATTACACTGGATAACCTATTTGTATATCAGCTTTTGTTTTCACGATAAGTTGTAATTAAATTGATTTAGAAGTTTATTACTAATCCTTTTAATGCTTAATCAGATGATACGATTGCCACTATATGTGATGTAAAGGCGGTCTCTAACACCCGTTTAATTACATATACCCTAGGGGCCTGTTTCATGAAATTATAACTCAGATAAAATCCAAATTTTAATAATTTGATTGGGTAATATTAGATTGATTTTAGTGCTTAGCCAATCAAAATTGAAGTATCTACTATGATTGGATTTTATCTTTGTCTGCGATATCACCTCGGTGGAATCGGACGTTAAATAAAAGCTATTTCACACATAGTTAAGATTTCTTGTCTGCGATATCACCACGGTGGAAGCGGACGTAAAATACAAATAACTCACACACAGTTAAGATTTCGAGAAACAGGGCCCTGTACTCAAAATTGGTTTATTTATTTAAGATTGTTGCATTGAAGGAATAAAATGGGATTTAACATCCCACTTTTCTGCTTCAACCGGGCCAATGCATACAAACACCATGCAGTGTGCAATGAGTGAAATTATTTCAATGACAGCAATGGTTTCCAAATGACTAGCACTTTTTTCGAGCCCGCCAGGGTGTACACGAGACCTCGTTTTTTCGTCCCATCCGAACGACTATAGATGCTATTCTTAGCCAGTCCCCCGCACTGACAAGGAAATGAGATGGTTGCGATTTTTTATTTCCAAATATCTTCGTTAATATTTATCTGATATATTGCTTCTTATCTTAAAATTTATTTAATATCTTAATCCGTGTCTGTATCATCTAAAAAAAAAGATGGTTTGCTCAATTATCCATGGGGCTCTTACAACCCGCATATTTTCTTTAATTTTTATTCAATTGAACTTGATTTTTATATGAGTTACGTGACTTATCTATTTATCACACATTTATTCTTGTATGTGGGTTTTATAAATAGTTTATCTAATATAATCCATAGTTCCTCGTCGGTTTTACCCCACTTGACGATATTACGTCGCTGTCCATAATTTTTGACAGTGTTTTACGAAATTAATTCGACCTGGTTGCAATACACAATAATAAAAATTTGTCGATGTATAACCCATATTGTGTATTCTATATTCACACGTTCCATGATAATACGGAGTCGGTTCTCTTTTATTTTCTGCTATGATATATCGATGGGAGATACAGAGGGGTGTCGTGGCCATGGTCTTCAATAGTGATTTGGGGGGACCGGAGAAAACCCACCCACTGACTGCTTATACATGACTTACCACATACAAATGTAGGATGGGTACTACGACACCTCACATCAATAACCTATCGGTACAGACCCGCTGATAAGACAAGGTTTTATTGTTACATGAGATATCCATGGACAGTATAGAAAGTTTACAGTATACGCACGTGTGTAAGACCGCGGATATCAGCTCCACCCATCCCAACACACGCACTCCCCTACCCTGCAACCATCTGATATAATTTGATTATTAGATCAATAAAAAGGGCCCTGTAAACTAGAGCAATGATGACTACGCACAATCCCCTTTGCAATTCGATCTGTGATTTCTGCATTTTCACTTCCTCACGCATCGGGTCCACGTGAAATATTATTCGAATGACATTAGTTTTAATAGATATCGAATGACGGATATGCTAATACAAAATTAGAAACCCTTCAACACATATCCGCATTCGAATATTTGTGTGAACACTTAAAAAATACAGCCAGATTTCTTTTACGTAAATGACCGTATTTCATGAGTTATATCAATTGCGGACTGGTTCTTAGAACAGGGTGGGACTTAATTTTCACCTACTACTAGGTCGATCAGCCCAAATTATTTATTTAGTGTTTGTTTTTTCGGCAGTAGTTTTTATCTAGCTCAACGGCGCCTTTTTTTTATACCCATTATTTAACTGGCGTAGCGTCTTTTTATTGATAATATCTTAATGATATCATAATTTATGCAACTGTATTACAACACGACGTTTAAACAACATATTTTTTAAAAAAATATTCAAAATTCGATCGCTTCTTTTGATTAGAGTCTTTTGAAGCGTGAAAGATATTCTGAATTAAGAAAAAAATTGCTGTATCATGAAGATGCGCTGCGCATATAACTTTTATAATTAATCTTTGTTTCGAAACGTGGGGTTATTTTACCGTTGGTTATACGATATACCACAGTAAATTATTATCAATATTGAGACAACGTCCCTGTTAATTACAGGGTATTATAAGCCGTGAAATAAAAGCTTTTGTATTGCTGCTATCGTGACTTTATATATAGCACAATGTAAATAAAATATAAATAGTCTCTATCATCTGGTGATCAAACACCGTGAATTAATACACATCATTATTAGGACTGGATAAGTGAGACTCAGTCACAAAATGGAGGATTGGATTATGGCCGTGTTGTTCAACAGGCCAAAAGATCGAATGAAAAATACATTTTACGAGTGGATTTTAGTATTTCTATGTATTTATATATGTTCTATAGGATTTAGTGAATCGGCAGCTTCAAGTGGAAAGTGTCAACATGGAACATTTACGAACGGAACGTGTGTATGTATTTCAGGATGGGGTGATAAAAATTGTGATAAATGTTACGGGCGTGCAAGGTAATTTTATTAATACTATTATACTGTATTACTTCGATGTCAGACATTTTAAGTCAGAAAATCAATCAGTATTTTTAATTTTTCTTTTAGTCAGAACATCTATTAGTATTTTATCTTTAAATGGGCTTGACCATTTGGATTTGTGTCAAAAATAAAAAGGCTTGATAGATTATTAAGATGTATTACCACCTGCCATAATAAAGGTTAGGCCTACATGATGTAGAGTTATAGTTTAAGAACACCACACAGTCAATAATACACATTTATAAAAACATTTGTACCTGTTCAAATACTAATAGTTTCTAATGATTTCACAATTAAGTAGAGTACTGGGGTCATGACTATTAATAACAGTTTTATGTCTATGTGTAGTATTAACAACAGTCTACACAAATACTGTACTGGGATATACATGTATACATGAAGGCCTGGTTTGCTGTGCTGTGTGCATATTAATTTGGTTGATGCCAGTTTACTGGTTCACAGTTTACTCGTCCACAAGGTATTGGTTGTGTCCACAAGACAATTAAAGCATCACACAAATAGGAAAGACGTGATGTAATCGCTCTGGAATTGCGATAGTCTGCCAACTGACGTCATTAATATTATACTTATATCAAACACTATGAAAACCACGTGGATACAATGAAATGAAATGTTGTTTAACGTCCTACTGTTTTGCTCTGACTGGACTATTGAAGACGAACATATGCCATACAGTGTGCTATGAGGGATATTTTTCCCAGACAGTGGCACTACTGCCTACTCTTATATCAAATAAAGTCGGTCATTGAGTCGACTGGCGTGGTTTCGAATCCCCGGTTGTACGTGACAAGGAGTAGGGTCGCCTGTCCAACCTCGTGGGTTTCTTCGGGTCCTCCGGTTTCCTCCCACTGCTAAAGACCCCTACGCGCAAGCGAATTATTGAAATAAAATTAAACCATGTTAGTCCCAAAATGACCTAGTTTGTGTCGAGTTGTCATTAAACGCCATTTCTCTCTATCTCTCTCTCTCTCTCTCTCTCTCTCTCTCTCTCACTTTCTCCATGCAAAAACTGGACATGGTTATTTTTTTTTTTATATACAATGATTATGCTACTTTAAAGATACATTATGTAAGATTTGGATAAAGAGCTTGATGTTCTTGCTATAATAAGGGGATCACGGTGGCTAAGTAGGCAAGGCGCTGGCTCGCTAGCCTGGAGGTCGGGTGTTCGATCTCTGCATTGGCCGAGAAAGTTCATCCCGATTTTCCGGCGTGGTTCTCCCTTATCAGTGATGCAGGACGGAGGGGCTGACAAGGACAGCTGTCTAGCTAGTCGTTGGGATTGTACGAAAAACCGAGGTCCCTTGTACTCATTGGCGTGCACGTAAAAGATCCCTTGACAGTTGGAATTCGATATAAGAGTAGGCCGTAGTGCCGCTGTCCGGGCAAAATTTCCCTCATAGCACACTGTATGGCGTATGCCCGTCTTCATTAGCCCAGTTCGGAGCAAAACAGTAGGACGTTAAACCCCATTTCATTTCATTTCATTTCTTGCTATAATAGCTCAAAATTAAATTAATTAAAATTTCATTCAAATTACATTAAAATCTGACTTAAGATATGTTTGTTTGAAGATGTACATCAGGGGCGGATCCAGAGGGGGGGTTTGGGGGGTCGAAAACCCCCCCTGCTCAGCTACATAAAAAATTTGTAAATCAACACTTTTTATGAGAAAAGTTTCTCGGTCGTGTGCTTTATCCTTTATCGTCAGATGTGGGACAGGATGGGCACTCAAAGCACGAGATAATGATATAGACATTATGTGATATCACAATTAATGCTTTGCATCCATGAAATTGAATCACAATGTCATTGTATTAATTCATAATAAAAATTGACGTCAAACGAGATGTTGAATTTCTCTGTTTAAAAAGCTCAATGTGTATGTATTAACGTCAAAATGACGATAGAGACCATGTGGGGGGGGGGGGGAGATACATTGTCTCAGGAACCTGGCAAACCCCCTCCTGCAAAAATTCCTGGATCTGCCCCTGTACATGTAGCGCAGATCTTTATTATCATAGCAACGATACTTAAAAACCTAAGGACTAAGTCTCAATTATCCATTTTGTCATAAATTTAAATCTTGCAGGTGTTCAAATCCTTGTCATCCGATTATCTAGTGAGTAGATTATAGACTTGCCATGTGAATAAATGCCTAAATAATAATTTTTATAAGATTTAAAGCCAGAAAAAAGACCTGTAATAGTCAGATTTAGCTCTCTACATAATCCATCTTTAATGTCTCAACAATAAATCTTACGGTCAGTATAACCACGGAATTCAAAACATAGATTGTCTATACCAAGCAGACGTACTTAATTGTATAACCAACAAAAAGTCACGAGACAATCTCTCAGACTGTGTAATTTACTGCGGACCAATAATTATTCATTAGTGACAGAAAGTTCCATCGACAGCTAATCTTTATTGATGTTCCTTGACCTTTAATAAGTTTTAAAGGAACAGAAATAGATAATCCCATTCGACTGATATTTGTTGTATGGGCGTCCTCGCAAGCAGATAAAGGGACATAATTTATAGGCGAGGCGGTCCCACGTGACCTCATTGTTTACCTTATAGCACAGTTTTCCTGTACATTCATTACAAACTCGTGTGTTGACAAACGTTAGTTTTTGTTGTTAATATGGAATTTAATCCCGATACGGTTCTCTTACCATCGATAAGGTCACGTGGAACCGAGTTTTTACTAGCGACACCTGGTGGGAATTCCTATCATTTCATTTTCACTTTCCAGTAACAAACTGTTAAGATTTGATCTGTTTTTAATTGATAAGTGTCTCAAGTTATTGTTATCTAATCAGGCATATCAATCAAATTCTTTCTTTATAATTATTTTATTGGCTAGTTAAGAGGTCACATGGGGTCAGGCAGAATACAGGTCTCTTAATCATGTTTCGAGCTCATATAAAAAGAAACTGAAACGTAAAATACGATATGGATACCATTTTAATAAATAAACATCTTCAAGACTGGGTGGTTGAATAATTACAGACCTGGCCCTCTAAGAGGCTACATGTATGTACATGTATCCCATTGACCTAGAGGGGTGTGTGTGTGTGAATGGCCAAATGGTTAGCACATGCGCTCTGTATCATATGATCTGTCATTGAGTTAACTGGCATGGCTTTGATTCCCCGGTTGTACATGACAAGGAGTAGGGGGCCCCTGTCCAATCTCGTGGGTTTTGTCCAGGTCATCCAGTTTCCTCCCACTGGCAAAGACCCCCTACGCACAAGCGAATTATTGAAATGAAATTGAATCATGTGTTAGTCTCGAAATGACCTAGTTTGTGTCAAGTGGACTGGATATTAAACCCAATCTCTCTCTCTCTCTCTCTCTCTCTCTCTCTCTCTCTCTCTCTCTCCATAGATCTAGTGATCCAAATTTTAACTATTTTATTTTGCAAACTCTATATTTACTATCCATTTGTCATAGTGCAGCCAATGACATTACAATTACACCTTTTTGGTTTCAATTCCACCTTAAAAGATCTTGATTTACTGAGTGGTCATACATATACATGTATATGACACCAAAATAACTGATAATCAATCATAAGTGCTTTAACAAGATAATGAGTGCACATATTGTGTGTGTATTAATACACTACATCAACCATAGCCATGTATTTATATAAAACAGTGTATAAAATGATTATAACAATAAGATTGTTATGTATTAAACGATACATTATGTAAGATTTAGATAAAGAGTTGGCTGTTCTGGCTATAATACTGTAGTTTAAAGATAGATTAACTAAAATGAATATACATGTATGTGTACTGGTATTGAAAATGTCAGTCAAATTGATTTATTCTGAGCGAAGTTAAATTTTCTTGATTGTCACGTAGGCCTACCATTGCTACATTTATCGAAAATATGTCAGGCATTTTCTAATCCACTTAATATCTCAGCCATCCTATGGTGTAGGCTTGTCATATGAATAAATGTCTAAATAGTTTATATAACATTTGAAGACATAAATAGATCTTCAATAGGCAGATTTAGCTTTTACATAATGGATCTTTTAAAGTATTTCTTCTTGGAGTTAACCTTTGTAATATAAATGAAAGCAAAATGTATAGATTATTTTACAACATGATCATTTAAAAGTAGAATATTTATGTGAGCAGCAGGGTACGTTTTGGATTAAAATCATTATTTCTAAAAACTGTAAATTTAGACAATCTCAAATATGAACATTTTTAATGCAGTTTATGAATGTAAAATTATATTTGAAGTCTGTCCTTAAAGTGGCAATAAGGCTATGCAAGCCATAAAACTTTGTCACACTAATTGTCGAAAAATATCAATTAGGAAATAAATTGTAATAGTTTAAGCTCTGGTACATGCAATAACTGATTAGATAATGGTCGTTGTTTATCTAAATAATATTGATATATTGGCCGTGAAGGATCATCAGGATTTTATGGCGTGGTTCCCCCTTGTCAGTGGTGCGAGATGGAGGGCCTGACAAGGAACAATGTATAGGTCCCATCATGTACAGTACATGTATGTTGTGTGCATGTAAAAGAAACCTTGGCAGATGGAATTCGTAATAAGAGTAGGCTGTAGTGGCGTTTTCCAGACAAAATTTACCTCATAGCACACTGTATGGCATATGTCCGTCTTCATTAGCCCAATATAGGAGCAGAACAGTAGGACGTTAAACCACATTTCACATTATTCTGTAAACAAAGTTTAGAATTTCAAGTTTTCAAATATATTTGAGAAATATTGAGGTTTGTAAGATTCAGTTCGGGGGGTTGGCCTGTCATTGACTCAAGTGGTGCAGTTTCGATTCCCCGCTGACAAGGAGTAGGGTTGCCTGTCCAACCGCGTGGGTTTTCTCCGGGTCCTTCGGTTTCCTCCCACTGCTAAAGACCCCTGCGCTCAAGCGAAATATTGAAATTAAAAATTGAACCATATGT